GTCGGTGAGGTGCCCCCTCCGCCTCTTCCCTCCCTCGCTCGCTCGCCCGTCCTCCCATCACAGTCTAGGGTAGTGTGTGATAACTTTGTAATGCAAGTGACCTTTACTGAGTTAAGCGTCAACGGTCTGCGGCTTGTTTGTACTGATCCTGAGTCCTTTATTTTTTACATAAAACATACTAAATGCCCCTTTGTCAGTGCACTACTAGATGAAGGCCAACCGACGCCATGTTGGCCTTGGTGGTTGTTTGGCCATACTTCACTACGCTGGGCAGTGCAGGTTGGTGAACAGAGGGAGCTGGATCCCATTCACCGGGTTCAGAGCGCGTTGTGTGAACGGCTGCGCCATCATTTAAACTGTCATGTGACACCAGAATCAGCTGTGAATAAGTCATTGTTATTCAAACGAGGGTATTTTTTCTGAAAAGTTTAACTTTTTTCTCTTCATATTTCTCTTTCAAAAAGCAGTTGACCAGTAAATCTTACATATTAAAAACAGTTACTTGGTGTAGGTGTTCTATAACCACATACAGCATTGATGACTGTTGTCCTGTTTGCTACCCGATCAGCGGGAGTCGAAGGTGGAAGTTTACATTGCTCCGACCTACCAAAGAACCCTGCATTTTGCAGTTCTGCTAATTTTCATGTGTATTGATCCCTACATTTTTCCAAGCACTTTCCAGTATATTGGTGTTGCCCTTAAACGAATTTCCTAACTCTGCTCAAAACCTCTGCCATAAGAAACGTCTGGGCATACTCTAAATTTAAAGTGCAGTGTCATGTGGAACACCCAAGTGAGCGAACAGGCACGCTTGTGTGTGTGTGTGCATGTCTGCCTGCGTGGTTGTTTGTTTAAATGCTGTGTGTGTAGCAAGTTGTGGAAATGTTTGCCAACCTGCGCTTGTTTGCACAGGGCTGGTGACGTCACTGTCGGAGGGCCTGTTCACGTTGCTGCAGGACATGCAGGGCCGCCTCACCAAGGTCATCAAGAGCGTGGGCAAAATCGAGCACTCCTTATATCCTTGAGAGGTTGACGTATGTGCAGCCGCTGTGCACTTTACTATACCACTTGGAAGTTTTTTTTTATCACTTTCCAAAAAAGGTTGAATGCATTACCTCTCTCTGTCTGGCTGTCTGTAGCGAGGGGTCACAAGATAACTCTCGTAACGATCCAATATAAATTTAACTTTGGTATAACTTTCTGTTGCTAATGTAGACTTACCCGATTGATAACTAAGTTGATCAAAGGGTTGCCCAGAACGTGTAGATGCAAACCAGAGCCAAATGGACTTTACAAATATGCAAGTACATTTTGCCCTGACCACTATCCATTTCCATTGGTTTTCATACCACTAATTAAATCATTCTCAGGACAAATGTATGTTGGAGAGCTTTAAATAATTCATGCATAACATGATTTTTAGTTTTTATCTTTTTTTTCCTTGTTTCAATATTACATTGACCTGGTCAGGTAGTGGACATGCATTATTGCCACAAGTGTTTAAAGAAGCCGGCTGACAGATACTGGAGAACTCCATGAGAAGTCGGGCATATAATAGAGAAGAACTGGAAATATAAGGACATTTGCAGCATGCATTGCAAGACATTTTTTTATATTATGACATTCTTAGGCAAAAAAAGCCAACCAACTAATTTTGAAACTGTGATGGTTATCATCAACTTAATAATGGACAATTAACAACATAGGACGCAATGCGGTATCCACCAAGAGAAGGGAGGGGAGTTGCGTCATTGCCACTGCGAAGTCTAACATACCGAGGCTCAGGAAGACGCCTGACCGCCAGCTGCCTCGGATTTGTTCACGTCCTTAATGCCAGCCCTGCACCTGGAGATCATTCCACAACGAGCGAAAGACAGAAGCAGCGACGGGTTTCGTGGATGGGGACCTCATCGAGAGTTTCCTGGACCTTAGCCGCCCCAAGATGCAAGAAGTGGTGGCCGGCCTGCAGGTGAGAGGAGAGGGCCGGTGGCACTGGAGATGTATTTCGAGCCTGTGTTGGGCCAGAGCCAGAAATACCGCGACCACCGATGATGATATTTTAATTCGTAAGCACGAGTGAGAGAAAAGTTTTAGGTTAGTGAGCGAGTTGGCGTAAGGAACCGCGAGTGGTGTGCGCGATGTATCGGCGTTTGTGTTTCAGATGCGAGAATCTTAGTAGTTGGTGGGGGGGGGGGGGGTGGGGGGGGGGGGGGGGGGGGGGGGGGGGGGGGAGTGTGAGAGAGCGAGTTGGCGAGCTATTTTCATTTTCCGTGCGTTGTCAGATTGACGACGGGAGCGGCATGAAGAGGGAAGCGACGGTGGACGACCTGATCAAGACTGTGGAGGAGCTCACGCGAATCCACTGAGCAGCGGGCATCTTCCACTGCACATGCTGTCCCAAACATCAGTAGCCCTTCATTGACCACCCCTCCCCGCCGAAGACATAGGATTTACCCTATTTTGCCTGAACTAGTTTTTCCTTTGTTAATTTTACCCACTTCTACCCTGCATTGTTTCTCTTTACCTTCCCTTTCCCCAACTTGTGTTCCGTTGTTGACAATTTGCTTTCACTCACCACACACACGTAATGCTCTTTCACCACTTCCCTTTTCTGAATGATCCCTGTTATCGAGACGGCGATGAACACTGTCGTGCTTGTACTGTGCCACACCCCCGCCTCGCTCATCTGTACATTTGGACAACAGGAAGCATGGCCCTTGTTTCAGAGGAAGTGGTTTTTTTTGTTATTTATAACTGCTCAGGAGGGGTTGCCCTTCCGCATGGGCACCTACTTATAATAAAATATTCAGCTATGCCTCTTGCTGCCCAACTGTCTAGTTACCCAAACAAACAAATGTTTGTTGCCCAGCTCTGCCTCGTTTTATCAAAAGCCCAGCTACACCACGACCCAATTATGTCTACATTTATTCAAAACTGCAGCCACCAATTTAGCCAATCAGTTGTATCAATCGCGCAGCTTTCCTCTTACTCGAATGCCTCATCCTGTCGCTCAAACATCCAACTATCCAGTTTTAACAGCTTTTCAATCACCAAAATCCAGTGACCCATTTATCTTAACAGGCAGATATTCGGTTATAAAGCTGCATCGTACCCAAACTTATATTTCCAGCAAGCAACCCTGTTACCTGATATCCAGCTGCCCAACTGTAAAAAGTAAAATTCATGACCATCTTCCAAAGGCCTCTTGGGCCACTGTTTCCCCAGCAGCTCTTGTTCGCAAAGAATAGTACTACAGATGTCGAGTTGTATTTGCTGATGACACACAGTTGATATTGATGCAGCTGCTGCAGAAACAGATTAATCCAGAAATGTTTGGATGATGGATCTGATGTTATTTTGTTGTGATGGGTGTATACATTTTATGCTAACTTGTTACTGAAATACAACCCACCTTAGCATGTAATAATGTACAGTTTTGCTATCTGCCCTGAATACCCCAATGTTGCTGAGTTGCTTTACCTTTTCAAGAGCAATTTTATCAGAATTTAAGAGGCCATTCCATGCTGATGAGACACACGAAGTCAAAACTTGTCCAATTGACTGCTTGAAAAAAAATCCTGATGGATATCAGTCCTGCGATCCTAAAGTTTATTTCACGTAACCCCTCGTTTGTATATTATTTTCCACAATCTGCCAATATGGTTAACCAATCTCACCCGTTCTGCCAATAAATAGCCTGCTACCAGTTGCTGCCTGAGAAAAACACACCTTGCCACCGTTAAGCCGTGCTTTATGACGGCGAACGTTGAAAGTGGGATACGGGTTTTCCAGTTACCCTTCAGACACGGCGCAGCCACTAACCATCTCCCTGGTCCATATACCAGTTGCAAAACTTTAAAGAGCCAGCAAGCCATCATATACGTTTTCACTTTTATAAATATGACGTGCAGCTTCACAAATATCTACCTGCGGCCTGCTTGTCTGATCAGACGGCTTTGCCTGTACGCTCACCGGCACAAGCCAATGCTGCTGAGAGGGGGGGGGGTGGGTCTGAGCACTTGGCGAATCTGCTCTGCGCGCCTCACCTCCACACCGCCCTTTTGCTCATTGGCATAGTACAACACAGGACACTATTCTCCCAACACAAGAGGCCAGTCTTTTCTCCTATGTCGCAAGAATTAATGCTGCGCGCCAACAAGTGGCGAGTGACGTTTGATTTTTGACCAAGGAGTTGTAGTAGAATGACGCTACCTTGGTCTGCGGTCCTGCTTGTCTGAAATCGTGTACCTCAGATGTTTTCCAACACTATTGTGGGTTTTGCTGACTACGGGGGTTCTTTAAGGATCGTTTATTTGCTTCGTCGCATGAATTGCAGCACAAATTGGGACATTGACATTTTAAGAAAATTACTCCTCCCTTTGCTCATAACCTGTAAATATTTAGAACAGTAAAACTACTTGTTTGGTTATTGCCAGCATTGACCCAGATCATCGCCACCACGCCGGATCTTTAAAAGTGCACCAACCTTTTTGGTCATTTGTGTTTAATGAACCTCGCCGGTCTCCACCATCGGAATGTGGAATTGCAACCACTGACTCAGGATCATTCATGGGGATGAGTTTCAAGACATTAGTGCTATGTTAGATGTAGCTGTATTAACTTATTGCACACTGCATACCATTCATGAAAGTAACATGTACGAACCGTTCACGAATGATATGTGCAAATATTTGAGTTGATGACAAAACAGTTTTTTGGAAAGGGACTTCACAGTGCATCTAAAACTCATTTTTAGTGTCAATAAAGTTATGTAAATCTGGTTAAACGCGAGCGCGCGCGCCTACAAGATTATAAGACGCGTGCCCCAATGCTTGCTTGAAAATACAGGGAAGTCAAATGTCCTCTAATCCCAAGTATGACATCTCAACACTCACGCACACAGGAACCAAAATGTAAGACTGAATCTCACACTTGTTCGGGGGCCCAATCTTCTGTTGTGTATACTCTCTGGTTCTTTCGGTAAAGTCACGAAGGTAGAAACAATAATAGATCACGACGTTTCGATCGCCTGATGACGGTTGCTTGCGTTACGATCGAAACGTCGTGTTCTATTATTTTTTCTATCTTCGTGACTTTACCGAAAGAACCAAAGAGTATGGATTCCTACAGTCACGAAAGCTTCAAATCAAGATTCTATTGTGCAGTTATGCAATCTTAATATCAAGTTCATTCTTGTCTCGTGTCCACCCGAAACTTACGATAGTTCTCGTACGAGATTGAAACACCCTTACTCCAAATCCCGCTATTCAGCACGCACCCTCGTCCAAGTCCAAAATCTCTCGTCACTAGTCAAAATCCTATAATATTAAGTCGGTCTTATTTTCGTCAGTTTTTTTCTATCGTAGGACAACTTTAAGCTTTACACGTAAAGTTTTTAAGGTCCTAATACCCTCCCACTGCCATTTACACAACATAAAAAACACGATCAATATCAATGTAAATATGAAAACAAAAATACCCAGTGTTTTATAGTTTTTGCTTGCATTAATCTTGAATAAATTGCAGTTTATCTTTACTGTCTATGCTGTGGTGTGTTGGTGGCATGCTTTGTAAACCCGGGTGGCGCACAATCGCACATCAAACTCGCAGAGGGCCGCGCTATAGGCGGGATATGAGAAATGGTTGGACATGTAAACATCTTGGTTCTTTCGGTAAAGTCACGTAGAATAGAAATAATAAAATAAAACAATAAAATCATTCTCACGACCTTTCGGCCACAACGCAAGCAGCCGTCCTCAGGTGGAGAACAGGTCTGTCGAGAAGACAGTCTGAATGACACCCCAGGCTTGGAGCGTCTAATTAAGCTGGGATGGAGGGGACTGATTTGCGTTGGAGGCAGGAGTCGCCGCAGAATCGAAGCCTTGGGACTGTCCTGCAGGATCAAGCCCATGGGTGTTGGCTAAACGTGTCGCGAAACGTCCTCGTCTGTAGAAAGTCTTTTCGTCGGGGAAAAAACTGACTCAACGTTCGTGGAAAAGTTCATTCCCTTTTCTTGCTTTGTCTGGTCTTGGACGTGTACATGGTGTTCGTGCGTCATAAGGCCGTTGCACTTCTTGAGCAGGGGTGTTAATGCAGTGTGCACTCCGGGGATGTGGAACAGCGTTGAAGTCACGGAGCAATCGTCTCGGCTCATTCTCATCAGCTTACTCCATCGTTGGACACCCCCCTCCCCCCTGTCCTTGCTCCTTCCAAGTTCAGCCTCAACTTTTTTTACTCACTTTTATTTAACTTGCCCTGTTTATAGCCTTTTAAAGCTTTGACGCTTAATATCTTCGGATCTACGAAGCCTAACGAGCTGATTGTTTTGTACACGGGCTCGCCTCTCGTGGCAATCGAAGATCCCACCGATGCTGGGCCTCTTCGTGTTTTTTACTAAATCTTTTGTTGCACTATTTCAAACAGAATTATCCGGACAATAATGCACTATTGTCATTTTCTGTATTGAGATCTTAGAATGAATATGTACATAAACAAATAATGTTTTACAAGAGTAACGTAAAAAAAATGTCAAAAACAAGTTTATCAATGCGCACAATTTTAATTGCACTCAAAAGTACAAAATACATTGTTTTGACCCCAGAATACATCAAATTTGATATGCTTAATAAAAGTAGGTGGTTTCCTTTCGACATGTTTAATTTTCTTGGGTCTCTCGGTAAAGTCACGTAGATAGGTTCAAAGAAAAAAAACTATGACGTTTCGATCGTAACACAAGCTTTCCTGATGACGAACGCTTGTGTTGCGATCGAAACGTATTTTTTCGTAATTTTTGTTGTTATTTTCTTTGAACCTTTTTACTTGACTTTACCGAAAGACCCAAAGAAAATTAATTATTGCAGTCACGAAAGCTTTAAGTCAAGATGTTTAATTTTCTTCTTGCAAGCCACCCACTTTTATTCAGCACATCAAATTTGATTAATTCAGGGGTCAAAATGATTCACTTTGTACTTTTGAGTGCAAATAAAAGTGTGTACATTTGCTTATGCATATGCCCGACTGCCTTGCCTTTCACTATAAAATGCACCCATTGTTTCCAGCGTCTTGGGATGTGGTCGCAATTGGACGCTGTGCACACCCACTCACATTTGTGTTGTTTGCAGATGGCATGTGGTGAAGGGTTGCACAAGGGAGGCATTTTATGTCGATGGCAGTACCCATCGATGAGTGGATTTCTGCCCACTTGACAGGCTTCAAATCCATGTCTAGAGATAATGCTCCTCTGCCACATAATAATGTACAGGTCAGCACTTTTAGAGTGCCACCTCTTTTCAGGTTCAACCAAAAACGAGGACACATGGGAAGAAGAATGTCTAAATACTTCAAGAGAGGAGAACTACACGTGTAAATGCATTGTCTACAGTGGTGTAATTTGTATGCAACTCACCAAAAAAAACACCCGGGTCTTTTTAACGTTACAAATTGGTTCCGATGACCTTTTTGTGACGTGTTCACATTTTGCCCTCGGTCGGGGGAAGTCCTCTAACGCTCCACCAACGCTTGATGCTACGCAAGCTCGGCAGCACTCGCACCAGCAGCAGGCAGCCTCTGCACCACCACCTCCACCACAGTATTTACATGAAGTGTTGTCTCATAACGACTCCCTTCATCTTCCTTCACTTTATTTCTCACCCACCTCTTTTATTTTTTTAACAATTCAGCACAACACATTACCCATCCCTCCCACATCCGTCTCTACATGCAAATATATAACACGAATTTTTTTTTACACATCCCATCGCCAACAGTTGACCTTTCACGATGACCAAAGCGTGGCTCGCAGTCGGTCTCATCTCAGCTGAAGCAGCTCACAACAAGTACATCTGGATCCGCGGACTCGTCAGGGTCTGGGGTCGGGGTTCAAACCTCCGCAGTTCCGAGGCAATTCGAGCCGCTCCTACGATGTGGTGCTTCAAGCACTCTGGGACGTTTCGTGGCTTGAATTTGGAATTAACTGTACGTACTGCCGCTTCAACGAACGATGTTGGGCAGCAATTTGCGAAATGATTCGCAGGCCATTTTTGTGAAACCACTGCTGGATGAAGGCCGCCTAATGCCATTGCGGCAGTTTCTCGGCCATGCTTAACCCACACGCTGGTCAGTGTAGGGGTCAAGGACCGGCTTAGATATCACTCGCCACTGTCGTTAGCCAGAGTTGGAGATTTAAAATGAAACTCGGGTTACCGGGTTCGCAGCACAGCGCACTCATCACTCCGATGATGCCACCGCTCTATCCCATCGATCATCACCGTCGTCGTCGTCGGCGGCGGCCATATAATCACTGATCGTGTAGTTAAAGATAATAATTAGCGTAGTTGTGGAAAATTTAATGAACAACGTAAATAAACAATGTCTCCAACATGTCACTCCACAGTATTACGTGGAGAGACTGGTATAATATAGGGGTCTTTAAATACGCCTGTTTTGGCAATCATGCACAGGTGCAATGCTTATTTTGTCATGAATTATCACCACAAATGAACTATGAAACACTGAAATGGCATGCATGTTTCTGTCAGTACGTTTTTAACCCATAAAATTAAAAGACATTCTTTTGACAAATAGCATAACTTCTAATGTATGCGTTTGCTTTTGTAAGCTTTCTAAATGTAATTGTATACGTTTAAGCCGAATGTTTGTGAAGGGATATGGCATTTCAAAATTAAACATTTGTTTTGTCACTGGAAACCGCGTGCTGCAATAAAAAAAAAATTTCCCTGAAATTTCATCCGCATTTATTATAATAAGCACTATTGCGGGTTGGTGACAGATTTGTGGGGCGGGGGGGGGAGACCTCCATTGCAAATACAGTACGATGTCCAAAGCAGTGGCTCATAACTTCATCAGCGAGTATCTAAGAACATCAGCGGTTGTGCCGTCCCTAGGGTACGGCAAATCGGGGCGACCGCCCCGGGCCCAGCGCTTTGGGGGGGGGGGGGGCTTAGACTTCACGGTGTCAGATGTAAAACTTGATTTGCCCCGTGCCCCGCACTCCGGTAGAGAAGACCCCGATAATCGGTGTTAGATTATAAATGCATACAATGTGTCGCTTGGAACCCTGGTTAAGACGACCCGATCAATTGCCTCATTTCAAGATGGGCAATGTCCACTGTACAGTGGTGAAAGAATGTCTCCCATTGGCCTAAAAATACATGAATATAAACTCCTTTTGTAAAACTACTCATTAATATGTACGAACATAGATCATGGCTGCATTGTGACCGTACAACCTCCATATTTTTGCAAATTCCAATATTCTGCACACATTACTCAATTGGAATTATACATAGCATCCATCACCCCCCCCTGCTGGCAGACGGATGCCCCAGGTCACTCTTACTACCAATGAGACTTAACCTGGTCGCAAACGGCGAGTCACAACATCCACTTGAAAATGTAACCTTATTACATGACCCGAAACAACCTCGCATATTATGGCTGTGCAACTCTATGAAATTACAGAATCGTTGCACAGTAAATAAAGACCGATGTTTTCAAACTATATATACACGAATAGGTGGCATGCATACCTGCACGTGTCACTGTTTTTCGCTACACTTTTCCAAAACGACCTGTATTCGGATGTTGTATTCTTTAGAATCTGGGAGGGGAGGCTTCGACCAACATTGAACTGACGAGCGCGATGTACACACACACGCGTGCAATATACCACACGTGCATTTGCTTACGCGAGACGTATGAGTCTTAGTCCGTGTAAGGCACACGTGTGTACAAAGTCATTCATTATTTATGTACATCGTGCAAAAAAACAGGCGGCTATGTCCTCAGGGGACAGTGAAGATAGGAGAACAATGAACGGCACAGGTGTGGGTCTCCCTTTGTTTATAGAACAAAGACGCCCTGCTGCTGCTGCTGATGCTGCTGCTGATGCTGCTGCTGATGATGCTGCTGCTGATGCTGCTGCTGCTGATGCTGCTGCTGATGCTGCTGATGCTGCTGCTGATGCTGCTGCTGCTGATGCTGCTGCTGCTGCTGATGCTGCTGCTGCTGATGCTGCTGATGCTGATGCTGCTCCTGCTGGCCGCTGTGGCTCTGTGGAGAGTGAGGGTGGTCAGGGGGTGCGTGTGTGTGTATGTGTGCGTGTGTGTGTGCGTGTGTGCGCGTGTGTGTGTGCGTGTGTGCGCGTGTGTGCGTGTGTGTATGCGTGTGTGTGTGCGCGCGTGTGCGTGTGTGTGTGTGCGCGCGTGTGCGTGTGTGTGCGCGTGTGCGTGTGTGTGCGTGTGTGCGTGGGATGGGGCAGAGCAAGGAGTTGTGTTACAATGGGAGTGGCTGGGCAAGCTGAAAGGGGAGGGTGCATTGCTGAAGGCAGATGAGTGCGTGCGAGAGGGAGGAAAGGTGATGGAGCGAGGAGTGCGTGAATGATGATTGGGAGCGGGTCTGTGTGAGTGTGCGTGTGGGAAGCGGTATCGTAGTGGTTAGCGCGCTGCGCTACGAACCCGGCGACCCGAGTTCGATTCACCCTCACGACCAACACCGGTGACGATTATCTGAACTGGTCCTGGGCCTCCCCGAGGGTCTACTCAGCCTCAAATGAGTACCCAGGAGCTGTGTGTAAACATCGCCACTAGGGAGACAAAGGCGGCCGGGCGTGGTCCTGACCACCCACCTCATCGTGTGCCGTGCCGACCTTCATAGGTGATCGCTAACAGCACTTGCCACCAAAAAGTCTCTTTGTGTAAACTTTACATTTCTATTTTATCTCCCGAATTGCAAGTGTTTGGCGTTCTCTCTGTCGACGTGAAGTGCGCTGTTTGATCGACGTGCGTGTGCGCGAGTGAGTGAGGAGTGAGCGGAGAGTGGTGGCCTCGCTCTGGTCACTGCGCCACGCAAAACCCGAGTTGGAGTCCCACTCCCCGGCCACTGCCGACATCGGTGGCGAGTGGCAATTAAAACTCTTCCCGAGACTTCCCCTAGGTCGACTCAGCCTCATCAGGTGAGTACGCCGCGGTGTATAAACATCAGCGCTGGGAAGACAAATGCGGCTGAGCGTGGTGTTGGCCCAGACCAAATAGGTGCTCGCTAACAGCGCTTTGTCCCAAAGGTCTGCCAACAAGGTTATTATGTGAGAATATGGTTTTCCCCTTTTTTCTGGCAACAAAACAGGTGTTGAGATTTTAAAACACCAAACTAAAACCTTTTTACAAGGAATCATATCTGCATTAACCACAATACTTGTAGTCAGAATGCAAACTAAAAACATACTCTGATAATATATGCATTGTCTTTGAAACTGATTGGTCCACACCAGAGACAGCTTTCTTTTGAGCCTCGTCTCAAAACGGTGTTAGACCAGAGGACGCCAAAAGGCGTTATATTTCACTGGCGTTCGTTGGGTTTTTGGTCGACTGCAGGAGGAGTGTGTGTGTGTACGTGCTGTGTGGAAGCCGTGGGAAGAGGCTGGCTAAGAGAAATATTAAAGTCACGAGAAGTGGCGTGGAGAGAGCCTCGGGGAGTGTGCGTGCAAGGCGTGGTGCTGGCCACCCACCCCCTCGTGTACCGTGCCGGCCTTCAGGGGTGCTACTCGCTAAAAGCACTTGCCCCAACAGTCTGTTAGAGGCTACACGAAGGGGATCTTTGTCTTTGTGAGGGTTGGGGAGCGGCAGCGCGTTAGGGTTAGCGCGCTGCGCTGCGAACCCGGCGATCCGAGTTCAATTCCCACTCCGCGGCCAGCGCCAGTGGCGCCACCCCTAGGTCGGCTCAGCCTCAAATGAGTACCTGGTGCGGTGTGTAGACACCGCCACTGGGGAGACAAAGGCGTCCGTGCGTGGTTGCTGGCCACCCACTCACGCGTGAGCCGTGCCGGCCTGGATAGGTGCTCGCTAACAGCACTTGCCCCAACAGTCTGTTAAGGCTACACGGGGGATGTTTTGTTGTTGTTGGTGTCTTTGTGAGGGGGGTGACAGAGTCCTGTGTGTGAGTGAGCGAGTGAGCAGGGAACCTGATCTTCACGTCTCCCACCCTTCCTCCTCCCACCTCTCTGCCTGCAGCTGCGTGGAGACACAAATGCTCCTCCCTGCCCTGTGCGATCCGCACATCAAAGGCGGACCCACCTCCCTGTGCCACGCACCTTTTACCGTGGATATTACAACGTTTCGACCGTGGGAAACATATATTTAGCTCATCTAACGTCGGAAAAGTAAGGACTGCGCCGTGCTGTAATGTGTAACGATCTGTTGTGTGCATTGGACGAATGTGGACTGGCTTCACAGTGGTTCGTCACCGTTACCATCGCTGGTATCATCATTATCATCATTATTCGCGTCGTATATTGTATCTGGAAAATATACGAGCTAACGTTTCGGTAAGTTATTCCTTCTGAGCACCGGAGAGAAAGGCAGAGGCAATTGCGCACAGATACAGTATTTTACTAAAGTGATGCACTGACACAGCGATGACATTAGAGAAGCCTTGGCACAACGTTCGGAGTCGTTCGTTATCCAACGTGCATTTTATTGGATGTGGTGTAAATATGGTCAGTGGAATAGGTTAAACAGTGGCCGTGGCTACCGCAGTTGCGAATAAAAACAAAAACTCTTCATCACATTAAATTTGGATGTAAAGAGAGACAGACAGGGGAGAGAGCGGGCGTTCGAGAGGACGCCTCGTAGGGATACGGAACGACGCAATCTGTTCGCGTGTGAAGGCGCTATTAGATGGGTTGCGTGCGTGCATGTATGTTGAACTTCTTTCGCGCCGTACATCGCCAACCGTGCTCATGGGAGCTGCCCGTGTCGTGAGGCTGGCAACGGCTTTAGGAGGCTTTTCATCGCGCAGTGGATTGATCGTGGCGAATGACGGTGATGATACCCGTTTGTGCGATACACTGGCACCCACCTGAGGAATGTGGAATTTCCACCAATTGTCTCGGGGTTGCCAAATGAGGTGAGCACCAACCCACGCTAATTTAAGCCGAGAGGCTTCTTGAATTTCAGAGAGTAAATATGGACCGCGCCAAACGAATGAGATTTAGATCTTTAACATTGTTTCTCTCTCTCTCTCTCTCCACGTTTCGAGAAACGTTCGAGCGTCAACAGGGTCTCGTGTGAAATGGAGTAAACATTTCTCTGAACACAAGACAACGTGCTGTATGCACGTTTGCCGTGTCGGCGCATTTATCGTCACGCACATTTGTGTGTTGCACGCGTGTGGCGCCTTACCGGCGTAAATTCTTCCACTCAAAGCGTCATCGTCACATTAATGCTCAACATACAAATAGACATTTCTGAACGATGAGAATACAAATATCAGGTAAAAGTGTTTGGATACTTATAGTTTGAGATGATACAATGAGCTTGACGGTTATTCACTGGAACATCTTATCGTGGAATCCACACCTGTTTTGTTGTTTGAGATTATCCTACCTGAGATAGCAACAACAAAAAACCCACTCTCCTACTTTCTTTTCAATGTATTCCTCTATTGATATTTTATGAAAACAAAGTGCCTGGAAAGTGGCCATGCTTTTATCACCATAGTTTAATTTTCATCCATATTAAAGGTTTTTTTGCATTAGATCGCGTAAATATAAATGTGCCGTTAGCCCACCACCACCCGACATAGCCAATTAGTAAGCGCTTACACGTGACCAAAACGTGCTAATTTGCTATTGCTTCAGCGCATCGGTGTGACGGCGAGTAAACCCACAACATTTAAAATTTGAGTACGACGTTTCGCTGGTGATTACAACCAGCTTCATCAGGTGATTTTCCAAATCTAACCCACGAACCTTGTGTAGTATGAATAATATTGGTCGCACATAGCCTTCGTGTTTCCTGGCCCATCTGTGTACATTGCAGTTGAAATGGTTCATTCATGTGTTGTCTAACATAAGCTGTGTCATCAGCAAAGTCGAAGTCAAACAATTGCTTCCCCTCCTTTCCCGGAGTCATTCAATACGTGATGTAATCGATCCACGTGTTTCTCGTTTCGCGACATAGTCTATTACTGTAGCAAACAAGAGGGTGGAGGGGGTGGCGACATACATCCTCTGAGGTATTCCAGTTATGATGTTGAACCAAATATCATTTACCCTTTCTTCCGTCGTCATAGCACACAGTATTTACACCAACTATACTCGGGGTCGGAAACCAAACATAACAAGAAGAGCCATTGTTTTCGAATTCGGTTAAAAAATACCGAATATTTCAAAATCCGGAATGCATGTGACTACGAGACGGTGGTTATTTAATTTGTAACCTCACGAAGCGCGTTGATGAGCCGCATGCAACTTCGGAGCCGCAGGGTGCCGACCCCTGCCTATGGTAAACTCGACTCCCAGGGTAAACTTGACTCCCAGGGTAAACTGGACTCACGTGGTAAACTGAACTCACGTGGTAAACTGAACTCCCACGGTAAACTGGACTCCCGTGGTGAACTGGACTCCCATGGTGAACTGGACTCCCAGGGTAAACTAGACTCACGTGGTAAAATGGACTCCCATGGTAACTGGATTCCTAGAGTGAACTGAACTCCCATGGTAAACTGGACTCCCATTGTAAACTGGATTCCTAGAGTGAACTGAACTCCCATGGTAAACTGGACTCCCACGGTAAACTGGACTTCCATGGTAAACTGGACGTCCATGGTAAGCTGGACTTCCACGGTGATATATGCTGTGTCGGGTAGTCAGGGGTGGGCAACCAAAATAACAAGAAGAGCATTTTTTTTCGACTTTCAAGAGCAGCAACTGCAGTCCTTAAGGAGCCACCGCCCGCGTGCTCACGAGCCGCAGGTAGCCGAGCCCCGCAACGGTACCCGCTCCGCGTGATGTTGACCGTCTTTACAGATTTGTCACGCACGTGGAGGGCTTTCCCAACATTCACCCTGTCAGCGTGCAGCATCATCGTCGAAGGCTTCTTGAGGCGGACAAGCTTGTTCGTGACGATCTGCGGGTGGAATTTAGTACGTCGTGCCCACATATTAAATGCTGTGACGTACCCTTACAAGCAACGCGTAAGCACACATACACACAGACACACCTACAAATAGTGTCACAAAAAATATCACCTCTTTGAAGCCGGTGTAATTAGCGAGCACCTGTGAAGGTCGCCACGGCACGCGATGTGTCCGACACCGCGCCCGGCCGCCTTTGTCTCCCGCCTGGCGATGTTTAGGCGTCGCATCAGATACTCATTTGAGACTGAGTCGACTTAGGGGAGGCCCGGGACCCGATTCGGATAATCATAACAGGTGATGGTCGTGAGTGGGAATCGAACTCGGGTCACCGCGTTCGTAGCGCAGCCCGTTAACCGGTTACACAGTATACACAGACAAAGTTACCCCCGGTAGCTTTCACAGACTTTATGGTCAAGTGCTGTTAGCGAGCACCTATGAAGACCGGAACGATACACGAGGGGGGTGGGTGGCCAGCGCCACGCCCGACCGCCTTTGTCTCTCCACACTCAGATATATCCGCCTGCTGTAGTCGTGCCGGTATCACCACTGCTCCTACCTCCCATTCGCTCTCCTCATGCCCTCCCCCCCCCCTCTCGTGTCCAATCACCGCCTGCCCCACTCGCTTGTTCCTACTGACTCCCCCGCCGCTCTGACTGCAGCTGGGGGGGAGGTTCTTAAATTGGTGGCACCGTTGGCGAAATGTGACCCGCGAAGCCTTAAACACGACCAACAAGCTACTGCCAATATCTACGGGGATCTATTTGTCAGCATCAAAGATGATGAAAAAGCCATTGCCTGTAGTCGGTCGCCTATGGGTCACCCCAAAGGGGTGGGTGGGTGCGTGGGTGGGGGGCAAAGGTGTCACTCACCGCCGCCCCTCCCGCCTCTCACTACGACGCCTGCACCGCCCCAACAAAATATTTGAGCCACCAGCCCCACCGCTGCTTCTTCGGGCGTCACGGTGTCGAAATGTTAACTACCCCCGCCGAGGATGCAGGAGGTCGTGGGTTCGATCCCGACCCTGACGCCTGCTGTATATTTGTAGTTTGCGTGTCTCTCTCTCTCCCCGTGGTCGCGTGGACTTTTCTCCCTTCCACATTTTAGAATCAACACGCGTTTAGAGTATTTGACAGCTCCAAATTTCCACGCGACGAGCCCTCTTCATCGAGCTATCATTTGCGATGGCCAGGTCGCTTCTGAACAAAAAAGCCGCATAGCTCAGTGGGTCTTCCTTACCCCAAACAATCCCATGCAGGCGTGGCCCACGCCGCTGCAGCGAGCTGCCTGGGGCTACCGGCACGCCTACCGCACCCATGGGCACGTCACCCGGTAAATAAACGTCCTCTAAGTAGAATATGTAACGATCACAGTACATGCAATGAATTGTTGTGATTCGAATCAAAACTTTGTTTATTATCCATAATAGAAGGGGTTTTTCTTGGAGGGGTGGGATGGAGGGGTATGATCGCGTAGCTATAAATGTGTCGTTAAACCCGCCACCACCCGACAAAGCCAATTAGTGTAGGTTTGCCACGTAAACAAAACGTGCCAATTCGTTGCTAGTTCAGCACACACCGGTTGTGTGTTGGAGATTAAATCCGCTACATTTAAAATTCGAGTACGACGTTTTGACGGTATAATTATAACCAACCTCATCAGTCGACAGCCAGAATTGTGGAGAAATCCTCCCGTTTCGGTCTTAAATACCCCCTATGTGCTTTTGTGTATATATATATTGTGGCCTCTAGTGGCTGGAGGGTTCATGACATGCAGCATATACTCACATCGAAATACCAATTAGTCTTACGCACGCGATTCGATGTTATCCCTGCGTGTTGACCTCTTCCACCACGTTTCCCCCACGCCCGGACCTCATCGTCCAACGACCGTCGACTCTCCGCCGCTCTGGAGTGTCTCGACACGAGATGTTGGATTTAGACGTGGCGGACGCCGCCGCAACCGCATAATCACTGACATCAACGTCGCTGCCGCCGTGTGTTTGCACTCCGTCTCCGCTGTCGCGACGTAGAGGCGTGTGCAGGTGACAGCGGCCGCGGATCGACGCGAGGTAATTGGGACACGCGAGAACATGGATGACGTCACCAATCACCGCGTCGAGGTCAGTGTCGCCACGTGCCGGGGTTTCTTTGTTTATCCCCTTTGTGTCTGTTTTGTTTCAGTCGGATGAACAATGCTCTCAAACACGTTTCTTGTGCTTGACTTAAAGCTTTCGTGGCTGCAGGAATTCATATTCTTGGGTCTTTCGGTAAAGCCACGTAGATAGGTTCAAATGAAATATCATTATTATAACATATATTTTTATGTTTTTTTATATTTTCTTTGAACCTATCTACGTGACTTTACCGAAAGACCCAATAATACGTTTTTGTGCGTTTTTGTTTTTGTTGTTATAAGTTGGTTGCGAATCGTTGTAATCTCGTGGAAGGTTATGAATAGTTAAAGAGAGGCCGAACGCAACACAACCAATACGGTCCACTAAATGATTCAGGCTCACATCAATCTCGCGCGGCCACGTCATGCGGCAGTTCTGTAAATACGACATCCAAATCACCCCTCTTCAAAACCCCCTCGCTCGCGGCCGCACACGCTCGCCGGTGAGCGGCCACGAGGCGATGACGTCACCTGTCGAGAGCGTGTCACGTGACGTCGCCTGTGGAGACAGCGAGAGAGGAGGCCACTTTGTGACGACACACGGCAGGGGGGGGCCTGGCACGCGTGCGCGTCTCCACTCGCTCCTGTACGAATGACCAACCACCAACAATGGCTTTGTGACTTACGCCTTCTTGTTGCGCTGTCTGTTTCGACAATATCTGTACGGTTATTTTCTCGTGCGGAGGGAGTTGGGGGGGGGGGCGGGGTGGGCGAAATTTAAGAAACGTTCCCATCCTTTCGACTGCCACGTCGGGAGATCGAACCGGCAAGAAGCAGCAGCAGCAGCAGCGTCCCCAGATTCAGGATGCGCTCGGATGCTAATTTGTTCGCGCTCATTTTTCCCGACTGTTTGGGACCGCCTGGCGTGTCGCCCCCCCCTCCCCCCCGCGGGATGGGTTGGTTTGGTTGTGGGGGGGGGGTGCAGCACCTCGCCATGTTCTCCGTGGACAAGCGAGCGGTGCAGCGGGCGGTGCCCGTGGGAGTGCGCAAGCTGCACGTGCTGCAGCACAAGGGCAAGGTGTGGAGCCAGGAGATGATGCTGCAGGTCAATGGCCACTCCGTCTGCCTCATCAGCAAAGACACGCAGGTGAACCAATCTACCCCCCCTCCCGCCCCGCCCCCCAGCTTCTATCCTTACGTTTTTGTTTTCCCCGCTGACGATCGCGGCCGGTTCTATTGCACCTCGGAAGCCGAGCAAGGGTTTGGGCCTGCGCGGCGTGTTGTATGGGTGACCACCGTGAATAAACTAAAAACTAAACAACTTTTTTTTTCTTCTTGGTTCTTTCGGTAAAATCACGTAGAAGGGAAGTAATAAAATAATAAAAATAAAATAATTCTCACGACGTTTCGGCCACAACACAAGCAGCCGTCCTCAGGTGAAGAACATGTCTGTCGATAAGACAGAGTCTAAATGACACGTCTTAGGCTTGGAGTGTCTATTTAAGCTGTGAGGGAGGAGGAAGAGAGCCTTGACAAAAGAATTTGCATTTGAAGAGGAATTTAGCATATTTATGGGAAATGCAGGAATGCGAATAGTGCTAATTGTGAAATGCGTGGTGGGCGGGGGGTTTTCAAAGTCATATTATGCCCTTTTTTTACCAAGTGAAGGCCGCTGAGCTATTAGCTTCTTTGTCAGAAGCGACCTGGCCACTAATGATAACCCAATGAAGTGGCTTATCACGTCCACATTTCTATCAGGCCGAGCACTCGAGATAATCTACACGCATGTTTATAAATGTGGAGGGAAAAACCCGGATGACCCGGAGAAAAAATAATCCATTCATTCCTAGCACCGGGACCCATGCCAACCGTGCTACACCACCGAGTTACCGGCACGACACACAGCGCTGCACGTGGAGATAAGACAAGATTCAAGTGTGTACATGACGACAAACCCCATCACAAGATAAACGTTTGTGAAAGCCGGCTTCCAGAGACCTGCGGCAGCAGTGAGCCTTCAAGACTGTACGCTACTGATGAGTCCTAATGTGGAGAAAAGCGGTCTACGGTTTTGTCTTTAAGTCACCGCTGCCTATTGACATGGCCGCATTTTCTCAGCTCTCTGAGTTGGTGGTTCCAAATAACAAAACGGATCACACCATCAGTTCTTTTGAGACGGTGGTCTGGGCAAGGCCGAGAGGCATTAGCACGCCTCAGTGCCGTCAGCACTTTGTGCGCTGCTCAGTCGATAGGACGCGAACCGAAAGCTGCAGAGGGCCACGGGCGGGCGTTTCGTGGCAACGTGGCAGGCCGTGAATTGCGATCCACACCCAACTCTTGCAGGACGTGCTGGAGAACTTCCCGCTGGCATCGGTGCAGCGCGTGGAGGCCGTGCCGTTTGAGCTGGAGATCGGGTCGTCGCGGGAGGATGGCCTCCTTGCCATCCTGTGCCAGGACGACACGCAGAGCCGGCCCGACATTCACCTCTTCAGCTGTCGCGAACTTCCGGTGAGCCTTGTTCGGGTTGCACGCGTCGAGTGGAGCGCGCGGTCAGCGTGCGGTTCTTCCGGCCCCGTATCGAGGGGAAAATGATGCTCGCGATGAGCGGGGAAAAAAATAAACAACTAAAAAACTCATCGCATTCGGCAATAACGCTGCCTTCTGAAGAAAAAAGTGACGCTGCGGGCAATGGCTCTTCTTCACGCCACGTGTGAAGGAGGAGGTGCTTTGCGAGCAGCACTTGCCCCGACAGTCTGTTGAGGCTGTACGGGGGATCTTTGTTCGTTGTGCATCGTCGAGAATAACCAATGGATGGCACTGTGTGGAGCGCAGTCGGTGCATCGGCCACTCATCTCAGTCATCTCAGTCAGTCACCAGGGTCTATGACCTACTCTCAGCGTGCGTTCGGCACTCCACGTGGCCTCACAGTGCACTTAGCCTGGCACAACAGCTGCGGTGACTTCACCGCCACTTGGTGACAAATTGCGGCTGTTTGTTGGTGTTTGTTGTTGTTGTGTGCGTTGTGCATCCCGTTAGGTGAACCTCGTCTGCCAGGACATAACGAGCGCGCTTGCGGACGCTCAGGCGGGGAAGGGCCGCGCGAAGGAGCGTCCTGCTGTCGTGGAGTAATAAGACGCAAAACCCAAACGCGGCACCGACACACCCGGGCACACTGCGCGCGCGCCACAACTGTCGCGGGTGTTTCGCGACGCGGCTGGGCGAACCGGGAAGTTGCTCGTGACGGTTGCCGTGGCGAGCGCTGGCTCCTTTCAAGACGCCTCGCCACGGCCATCGCGAAAGAGCAGCTCTTGAGAATATTCCACCGCGCAGACAACAACGCACAATGCGACACCATCGCAGCAGCAACCGCACCGGCAGTGAACGACAACAATTCGCGATTGCCAACGGGGCAGCGGTCGTCGCACACTCGCGGACACGAACTCAACGCGACACCACTGGCACAACAAACACACGCAACACTATACACACTCTCAACACAGCAGCAACAACAATGCCAACGACAGCGACAACAACAATAACAGGATATACAATAACACTCCGATGCACATCTCCCTCTTTTACGTCGTTTCCCAAATACGTCGTCACGTGATTAGCACCGCCAACCCGATTTGCGTCGCTGGTGAGCTTCGTCCGCCCTGTCTCGTATCCGTCGCCTCTCAGCCTTCCCAATCAAATACCACCCCTTCCCATTAGCACGGTTGGCTACGTGGCGGTGCGAAAGAAGTTCAACGTTGCCCTGCCAATCGCTTCCATTCACGTCGTTTCGATATTCGTCGTCGCACCTTGTTCGGAACGCATCCCCGACGTTAACCGGGGTATTGCCGTGGCAGCGCAGTGCCGACTCAACGTGCAACAAACAACGCCGCCGACAACTCCACTAACACCGCACGCAGCGCCAATGCAACAGCGTCCACCAGCAGTGCGCTAACCACCCCAATCACCAGCGAAACGGCGCAGTACTCGAACTGTGAATGTTGTCGGGTTTGCTCTCCAACACGTGGGTGTGCTGAAGCAGTCCACTCGTTGGCACGTTCTGTTTACGCGACAAAAGTTACGAATTGGCCGTGTCGGGTGGTGGTTGGTTAACAATGTATATTTATATTAACGTGATCTAACCCCCCCCCCCCCCCCCAAAAAAAAACCTGTTTATTACGAATAATATTGGTCGCGAAAGCCTACGTGTTAAACTACATTTATTAGAATTATGTACACAATTACGTATGGAGTGTTTTTGATTCCACGATTGTATACTTAGGTGTCATGTGATTTAGTGGACGCTAAACACAGGGCAGACTAATGACTCAAAAGAGCCAAGGTAGAGGACATATCAAATAGGTTTCAGCGCAAGCCAGGACGATGTCACATTTTCTCAGTCACTGTCAGAACGGTGGGAGAACCCTCCTGCGCCGGCCTATGTGGCTGCTCTGACCTTTGTTTTTGTTGAGTGTTGTTTGTTTTAGCTGAGAGCTTATCGAGAGATGCCTTCGTGCGTGTGACCCAGTAACAGGCAGCATGGCACACGCGAGCTGCAAGTAGACAGGCAGATGTTCTGGAGAGGCGCCTTCTGAAGTGGACTCACAGGGGAGGCAGAGAAACCGGCCTCCTAACATCGCTCTCAGTATCAGTCAAGTGTGCATGTCTTTGAGCTCAGCTTTGCTCATCGGGTTGCCAGGCATAGTTGGGAATGGCCTGAATCTGCCTTTGTTGGCATCAGGATTATTAGCTCCTCTCTGTGTCACGCGTCAATGAACAGACTTTTATTTAGTAATCCGGCCCTGGATGGGGCCCTCCCCGTGCCTGGGCCGGTCATGGGGGTGATTTGACCATATTTCACCACGCTGGTCAGTGTGGGTTGGTGAAGGTGGTGAGCATGGATGTGAGGGCAAAGAAGTACAGTACAACAATGGAATTTCACACTGCCCTCTACTGTTCACTATGTAGACACATAGCCGTTAACACCTATGATGCATTGTGGGCGCCCATCCAAGCAAGCACTGTCCAGTCTCAGTCCTGCTTAGCTTCCGAAATCTGATGAGGCAAATTCCTGGTGATTTGGTCGTCGGCTCATGCTTCCACAGGCTGTAGCAGTGGTAGCAAAGTGTGGTAGCGTGTCTCCCAGTCTTCCTCTGTCTAGTCTGGCAGGAGTTTTGTGTCTATCGCGTTGTACGGTGTCTTTTACAGCTCTTGGCCTTCCCATGCCGCGTTGGCCATGTGGATTGGGTTGGTGTGGCTTGGTGTGCTGTGGGCTGGTCAGGAATCAGAATTGTGGTTTCCAGGTGTACTTCTAGGACAATGCTAACCAGTGTTCCACCGCTCCGCCCTTTGTGCCCACGTTTGTCCCTTATTCTCTGCCTGTCAGAAATGCCAGCTCATTAGTCGGTCTGTCAACGTGTTTGTCTGTGCCACATCTCCATTACAGGGTCGCACTCTATTACAAACAAAGCGCTCGCCACAAATGAGCCACAATCACCTTGCGGATCTCGTCAAGGGGCATAAACCACCGTGCCAACTCCAGTCAGCAGCAGCAGCAGCAGAGACTTTTGGTTAGCCATCGAACACAGACGGTCATCGCGCTTCTGCGGCCGTCTGGAACGCTCTTCCTTCCGATTGACAAACTCATTTCTTTAGAACTGCTTTTTGTGTTCAGTTTGTTGTCCGTCACCCCCACCCCCTCCCCGCACCTCCAATTTGCGCGGATCAGCTATGCGCACGGGTAGGGAACCTTTTTTCTGCCAAGGGCCATTTGGATATTTATAACATCATTCGCAGGCCATACAAAATCATCAACTTTAAAATTAGCCTGTTATATTTGATCAAACATTTTATTAACTCACCCCTAATCCGATGGCTGGAACTGCTTCTCTTTGGCGAGGCGCGTGATGTTAGCTGGTATTGATGATGTCGCTACTCACAACTGCTTATCCAGGTTTGCTCCTAGATTGATTGAATTTCGAGTCCCGCCTGCGGTTGCCTTGGCAGGGCCACACCGAAATTTTGATTCCGCGGGCCTCACACGGCCCGCGGGTCGGACGTCCCCCCACCCCCTGGGCTACGCGCACGGGTGCGAGAAGCGTCCAACAACATACGTACGCTCACCCCCGCAGAAAAATCCGAAAGTTGGAACAACAGCGGGAGGACCAGAGTGCCGCCAAGCAGCGACCCGCCGATGTGCCCCCCGGCACCTACACGTACACACCTTTCCCGGCCGCCGCCGCAGCGCCCATCCCGCGGCCGGAGTCGGTGACCCAGCAGCAGCAGCCGCCGCCCGAGGCCGCGGCGCTCCCCAAGGGCGTGCGGAGCAAGGAGGGCGCTGAGCGGGCGAAGCCGGCGGCCGCCGTGGACCGCGCGACCCCCAGGCTCGCCGGGGAGGAGCAAGGAGGCCACGGTGCTAAAGGTAAAGGTGCAGTCCTGAAAGTGCACTGCTGGTGGAAGGGCGGGGGGGGGGGCTCCAGTAGAGAGGGCGCGACTCCTCTTTCATGCTGTCCACGTGCCCACGGCGCTACCCATTGACCTCGCCGTGCCCTTTTGCAGAGGCGGTAGCGGCCAGTTGCGACGTTAGAAAGTGGATGACAGCTGATGGCTCATGCGCTTGCAATGAGCATGTCAGAGGATTGAGCCAGCGCTGTGACTAACTCTGGAGAGGAAACCAGAATCTCTTGGGGTTGGCAAATGTTCACACGCCCCGACTGGACAACTGTGAAAAAGAGCGTTATTGCTCATCGGATTCCTCCAGTATAAATACAGATTTTTATAATAGTTTTAGCTCAATCATCAATTGCAGCATGTAACATGTGAAATCTACATTCCATTTTTTTTCACTTATTCATTCTATTCCAATTGTAAACTAATTATTTGTGTGATAGTGCATAGGCAGCGGTGCCCAAGCGGAAACTGACAACAATTAAATCGACATAGCACATTCGTCAATGACACTCTGTGGTGGCATTAAAAAGAAGAGTATTGCAAGAGGCAACTTATCAGGCAACGGGGCTCTTCTCGAGTCCTCCGTGGGCCACCGCACGCGGCTCCGGAGCCACGTGCGGCTCTTTAAGGGACCGCTTTGCGACGTCGTTTACGAAGGGGCCATCACCGTCTCGAATTCACCACGCGGTGCATTGCGGCTCTTGAAATGTTGAGTTTTTTGTTGTTGTTAATCAGATTCGAAAAAAAAAATGGCCCTTGTTTTTTTTTGTTTTCCGAACCCCTGGCCTAAGTCGTCACATAAAAGACGTACTTCTCCTTTGAAGGGAGTGCTGTTGATGAGCGTGTTGATGTTTTTGTAATCACTATTTTGCAGCTTCTATACGTAAATAAACGTGGACAGCCGTTTTGTCGGTTCACCCGTTGTGCAAATATTTAATCATACCATGTGCATAATTAAATACCCGGACTGTTTGGTTTGTTTCATGGGCAGAAGCCGGAGTCCAGAGGAGGGCTGATGACAAGGAGGAGCTCGCGGAGCACCCAGATATGCAAGCCTTCAAGGTGGTGCAGAACACGGTGAGAATCTCGCAGCCTCCCTACCCCACGGCACCGCTACACGAGACTCTGAACCAGAGGTCGCAAACGGGTTTAGATTCCTTACCCGTACCCGGCCGCACCAGGGTCGCAAACGGGTACCTGTACCTGTACCCGGCCGTACCCGTACCCTTCCCGTACCCGGCCCGGGTACGGGTAGGGTACGGGTATTGGGTACCTGATTGCGACCTCTGGGATGAAGCAATGTTGCGGGCGCGGGTGGGTTGATTCTAGGAACTTGAATTGTGAGAAGAGACAAGACGTTGGGAAATGAGTGACAAACAGTTACTCACCAGTGACTCACGGTCTACCCGTACCCATACCCGGCCGCACCAGGGTTGCAAACGGGTACCCGTACCCGTACCCGGCCGGGTACGGGTAGCCGGGTATCGGGTAGGGTACGGGTATCGGGTACCCGGTTGCGACCTCTTCTCTGAACCCCACGCCAACACACGGCACGGCTACCCCCAATGTACTGCAGACTGGCAAACAAGACACGGCTTCGCCGGCCACACAGCACGTGCCCACTGAGGCATAGCAGACCCTCACCATGTCGCATCCAACTCGCCCGAGCCAACACACAGCACGTGCCCACTGGGGCATGGCAGACACTCACCAAGGCTCGGCACAATTCTCAGAGATGAGGCGCACGTCCATTCAGCCTGATCACAGCCTCGCAGAGACCAACCCGTGCCATTCGTGAAGGACGGCACTCGCTCACCGAGACATGGAACACCTCGACCGTGAAATGGCCTTCTTCCCCAAAGACGCACGATACCTTTCCGATTCGGATCCACAATTACCTCGCCAATCTCGTCAAGGAGCATAAGCCATCGCGCAAACTCCGGTCATCCTTACAGCAGCGGTTTTGTGCTCGGCCATCGAACAAAGACGGGCAGCGCATTGTGCACTTTCGGATGCGCTTCTACGGCCGTCTGGAACGCTCTTCCTTCCAATATTAGGAAGCCACTGGAAGCTATACACTTTTAAATCTGCGACGTACGGTGCGAAAGAAATTCAAAATACACACATACTAATAATTGGCACCAAAGTTGAACCTCGCGCTGTGTCTCCCACTCGCGGCCCAACGCCCACTTGGGCACCATCAGCAAACCCTGACGCGGGCCCTGGAGGACGTGGACTTCTTCGTGGCTAAGTTGGACCGCGTGGCGTCCGCGTGCCGCGAGCTGCACAAGCGCAAGGGCAAAGGGCACAGCGCCAGGGTCGGCTCCGGAGGTGAGGGTGCACACACACACACGCACACACACACACGCACACACACACGCGCACACGCAGAGATCCCCAGTATAGCCTTTACAGACTGTAGGGGCAAGTGCTTTTAGCGAGCACCTATGAAGGCCAGCACGGTACACAAGGGGTCGGGTGGCCAACACCACGCCCGGCCGCCTTTGTCTCCCCAGTGGCGATGTTTATCACATCGCACCAGGTACTCATTTGAGGCTGAGTCGACCTAGGGGAGGCCCGGGACCAGTTCTGATAATCGTCACTGGTGCTGGCCGTGAGCTGGAATCGAACTCGGATCGCCAGGTTCATAGCGCAGCGCGCTAACCGCTACATTACCGCTCCCCACACGCGCACACGCACGGGCGTTCAGCAGGCAGTAGCAGCGGTCAGTCGCCTCCTCATCAACTCCTCTGCCGCCACTACGACGGTTTCCGCTCCCACGGACTTCGCTCGTTGATTCCTCCACTCGTGTTGAGGACTCGTCCTGGCAGACGCCCACCGTGTGGTCACACGGTGTTCAACCGTCGCACTACACGCCACAGCATCACGCTCACTCGATGTTCTTTCATCCACATGGTTACCCACTCACCCACCCACCCACTCATTCATCCACCAACTCGCTCACCACACCGCAAGTCAAAACACTCCTCTTTCTCCTTATTTATTAATCACGCTGTCCAGCTTTGGAATTCCCTCGAATGAAGAAACGTATTAACGCTGATCTACTTAACCCTCAGCAGTGCTGGGGCCTAGAGCCTTTGGGCCTGCGCTCTGAAACTGTGATAATAAAAAAAGACAAAGATCACCCGTGAAGCCTGAACACGATATTGGGGCAAGTGCTGTCAGTGAGCGCCTATGAAGGGCAGCACAGTGCACCAGATACTCATTTGAAGGCCGAGTCGACCTAGGGCAATAGCGTACACGTGGTGACAAAGATGGGGAGGGCACACGACAGAAAGAACATGCAGGGGGCGTGTCAGTACAAGTGTGTATGTACGTCGAACTTCTTTCGCACCGTACAAAGCCAACCGTGCTAATTGGAGGTGTGGGGGAAGGACAACAAACTAGACACAAAAAATCGGTTCCAAAGAAATTATTTTTTTTATCTATATTTAATAGTGCATAGTTCCATTGGTTTTCTAATATCAGAAGGAAGAGCATTCCAGACGGCCGCAATAATCGAGCCCTGTCGATCAGTGCCGGCTTAAGCGAGTGCGGTGCCTGTAGCATATATTATAAGGGGCCCTAAATAAGTAAAAAACACGTAAATATTAAAACACACTTTTTTGACTTGCATAGTAAAGTAATTGCATTTTTTCATTTTCTATACAGCCAGATAATACGACAAATCGCTAACCTTAAACACCCAGTCGTTCATAAAAGTTGAAAGCAGTATACTACTATAGTAATAGAGCAAGTGCAGAATCACTGAACCGGTTTTGATAGCTTGTAAGCATTTAGCGCGGGGCCCTTGAAAGTGCGGCGCCCGTAGCACACGAAGCTACTTTTGCTACGAGGATAATCGGGCACTGCCGTCGATACGACTCTCCACGCCACCGTGTTGGCTATATCACGACTCAACAGTGGCCACACGTGTCGTCGAGCCCTGATACGAAAATTGCAGGCCCCTGCCTATATTTTTCACGCGGTTGAATGCGTCTGCGTGCCCGTGCTTGCACGCTCTCATATGCACGTGCGGCGTGGAAACGCTCACCCGTGCACCTGTGTGTGTGTGCCCTCTCCGTCCGTGCGCGTGCGTGCGTGCGCGTGCGTGCCGACGTGGGCCGCGCCGCTGTCCACCAGTAGGGGTGCTGACCCTGCGTGCAAAGCCGCCCACCGAGGAGGAGTTCATCGAGTGCCTTCAGAAGATTAAGTTTTCATTCAACCTGCTGGTGAGGAGGGCAAGGGGCATGCCTGCGTCTGGATGGGTCAACGATGTTTGGTTTGTGGGTGGGGGCGAGGGGTCAGAGGTTGGGGTGGGGGCGGAGTCGTTTTGGGCAGTGTGAGCTGGGGATGGAGAAAGCTATTTTAATTCAGTGGCTGATTATTGGAATATCTGGATGCATTTTTGGATACCCTATATATAAGCACCGATGTCACGGAAATTGGAATATTTATTTATACCGGAGAAATCCGATAATCTATAAAGCTCTTCTTCTCAGATGATCAGTATACCTATGACTATTGCACGGACTGTTTTATGATCCAGAATAGAAATCAATGGTGTCATCTGCACAAATGATATTTAATAGGAAATCTCGACCTTACGCTTTGTGCATTCAGGCTCGGCTGAAGGATCACCTCCATGACCCCACTGCCGATGAACACGTGCAATCCCTCTTCCAGACGCTCACCAGGGTACGTGCGCGTGTGTGTGTGTCGGGGGCTTCTCCTCCTAGGTCGACTCAGCCTCAAATAAGTACCGGCTACAATGTGTAAGCATGTCTACTGGGGAAACAAAGGCGACCAGGCGTGGTGCTGGCAACCCACGCCACATCGTGTGCCGTGCCGGCCTTCATAGGTGCTACTCGCTAACAGCACTTGCCCCGGCAGTGTGTGAAAGGCTATTCGGGGGCCTTTCGCCTTCGTCTTGTGTAATCCCAGGTCGTGCAGGAGAGCGGGGGCCCCGAGCTGGCCGAGACGGTGGTGAGCCCCCTGCTCACTCGCGACGCGCTGCTCCTCCTCGCTCCGTGCACCGGCGGGGACGGCATCCACCTGTGGAGCAGCCTGGGGGAGGCGTGGAACACACCAAGGTCGGGCACAAACCCCTCCCTCCCCTCCGTGTTCACAACGCAGGCAGTCCCTGACTTACGAACGCAAGACTCACGAATATACGTGCTAACGAACGACCTTCCTTAAGAAATGTAGTGTTTAGTCGTAGGTTTTTACCCTTTCAACTGGTACAAAAACTGACACCTTTATACAAGGCATCATGTTTGCAATAACCACAACACAAGCAGTCAAAATGCAAACAAAAAGAAACAATTTCAAGGACAATGCATATCATTATCATTATCAGAGTTGTTTCTTTTTGTTTGCATTTTGACTGCTTGTGTTGTGGTTATTGCAAACATGATGCCTTGTATAAAGGTGTCAGTTTTTGTACCAGTTTAAAGGGTAAAAACCTACTACTATATTTTGCCACTGGTAAAGGAGGTATCATAGTGTAAATGTAGTGTTTCTTTTTTTTAACAAATCCGACTTGCGTACGTGAACTCGTGCTTGCGAACCGAATGGTGGAACTATTTTCAGAGTTACATGAACATATACAATAATTATTTTTATTCATGAGCTGAACAGTGCTTCCCTTTTTTGTCGAACACGTTTTGTAACACGGACCGTATGTGCATTTAAATACGGTGCATTACTGTGTTCCGACTTACGAACCATTCGACTTACGAACGGATCTCAGGAACGGACCCTGTTCGTAGTTTGGGGACTGCCCATAAATGCCCTGCATCCCTGCCTCTTCTGCACCTCATAACCTATCCTGCCCGCTGCCCTCTGCCTTGTACGTAACCTTCATTGCCATGCCCTCTGTGTGCTGCTTGAATTGTACGCTCGCTGTGCCATCTTGAATCATTGTTAAGATCACTGCCACCACTGTCAGAATCATCAGCACTCTGGCCATCACTACCGAAGACAAGGTCCCCTGTACAGCCTCAACATAATATTGGGCAAGTGCTCTTCACGAGCAGCTATGAAGGCCAGCACAGCACACGAGGGCGTGGGTGGCCAGCACTACGCCCGGTCGCCTTCGTCTCCCAAGTGCCGATGATTTGCATATCGCACCAGTGACTTATTTCAGGCTGAGTCGACCTAGGTGAGGGCCAGGACTGGTTCAGATAATCGTCACTGGTGTTCAGATAATCGTCACAGTGTGCAGGGGAGCAGTAGTGTAGCGATTAGCGCGCTGCACTACGAACCCGGCGACCCGAGTTCGATTCCAGCTCACGGCGAACACCAAGTGACGATTATCTGAACCGGTCCTGAGCCTCTCCTAAGGTCGACTCAGCCTCAAATGAGTACCTTGGTGCGGTGTGTATACATCGCCACTGGGGAGACAAAGGCGGTCGGGCGTGGTGTTGGCCACCGCGCCCCCCCCCCCCTCGTGTGCCGTGCCGGCCTTCGTAGGTGCTACTCGCTGAACAGCACTTGCCCCAACAGTCCGCCAAGGCTATACGGGGGAGGAATCTCATTTGCCTTCGTCGTTGTGTGCAGGTCCGCGTGGAATAAGCCGGCGCCCGTGCCCCACTACGTGCCCGTGTTCCGAAGCGGCTGGCACCCCCCCGCGCAGAAGAAGGTTTCGTTTGTGGACGCCGAGCCATCTCAGCCCAGCCCCAGCGCGTGGCCACCGGGACAAACGAGGTGCGGGGAAGGCATTTGGGGGGGGGGGGGGGGCTGTGGAGTTGCAGTGGTGGGGTGCGGGATGAACAAGACCTCGCAGACATCGTCAAAGGAGCATAAAGCGTCATCACGCGAACTGCGGTCATTCTCGCAGCAGCGGCTTTCGGCGAGCCGTCGGGCAAAGGCGGTCACCGCGTCGCGGGCCTTTAAACGCGCCTCTGCGGCCATCTGGAACGTTCTTCCTTCTGGTATTAGGAAGCTGCCGAAGCTGTGCACTTTTAAATCTAGATTGAAAAATTATTTCTTTAGAACTGCTTTTTGTGCTTAGTTTGTTGTCCCCCCCCCCCGCGCACATCCGATTAGCGCGGTTGTCTACGTACGGTGCGAAAGAAGTTTATACAGACACACATACACGAGGTGATGTCAATCTCCATGGGTCCAGGCTCAAGCGAAAGTATCAAATTATGTAAGGATTGACCCAATATATTTAGTTTTTTTTTTTATTCTCAGAAATCTGAAAGAAAGTTGTAGTGGCACATGGTCATTTATCAACAAATCGCCACTCTCAAAATTGCACACATGAGATACACGGGCTTCCCAGGAAACTTTCAACGTTGGCATGCGGTTAGAACCTGTGGACCAACGTTGGGCCACCGTTGGCCCAACGTTCCTTGTTTACCGGGTTGTACGCCCTCATGTTCACGTGGTTGATCAGCATCATTTAACTAAAGCGCATTCGCCGCTCGTATCAGGGGTTCACGGGTCGAATCCGGTGGCTGCCCTGATTAATACTGCGGGTGTAATAACCGTGAATGGGGCTATATAAAATTAAAGTATTATTATCATGAATATTTGGTACAGACACACAAAATATGACGATTTCGGGGAGACGGATGGCAGTAGTGCAGCAGGAAATCAAAATTCCGCTTCGCAGTTACATACGCACTGGTTGGCTGCGTAGGGCGCGATTTGCACGGTTGGCTACGTACGGTGCGCAAGAAGTTCAACACACATGCATACATGAGGCGGAAATCGATTGTTCGTGCAGGGGGATGGCGCGCTGCCTCTACGACTACGTGGCGAGGAGCAGCAGCGAGATCTCCGTGCTTGCTGGCGACGTCCTCCAGGTCTGGGCTCACCGCCTCACTGTCGACAGCGGCGGCTTATTGGCCAACGGTGGAGGGTGGCAGTGGCCAGCGATGTCCCACTGCCTCACTTGCACAGTGGCTTATTTGCTAACGACGTCTCACTGCCTCACTTTCACAGTGGCTCACTGGTTAATGATGTCTCACTGCCTCACTTTGACGGTGGCGTACTGGCTAATGATGTCCCACTGCCTCACTTTCACAGTGGCTTATTTGCTAACGACGTCTCACTGCCTCACTTTCACAGTGGCGTACTGGCTAATGACGTCTCACTGCCTCACTTTCACAGTGGCTCACTGGTTAATGACGTCTCACTGCCTCACTCTCACAGTGGCTTATTGGCTAACGACGTCTCACTGCCTCACTTTCACAGTGGCTTACTGGTTAATGATGTCCCACTGCCTCACTTTGACGGTGGAGTACTGGCTAATGACGTCTCACTGCCTCACTTTTACAGTGGCGTACTGGCTAATGACGTCTCACTGCCTCACTTTCACAGTGGCGTACTGGCTAACGACGTCTCACTGCCTCACTTTCACATCGGCTCACTGGCTAACGACGTCTCACTGCCTCACTTTCACATCGGCTCACTGGCTAACGACGTCTCACTGCCTCACTTTCACAGTGGCTCACTGGCTAACGACGTCTCACTGCCTCACCTTCACATCGGCTCACTGGCTAACGACGTCTCACTGCCTCACCTTCACATCGGCTCACTGGCTAACGACGTCTCACTGCCTCACCTTCACATCGGCTCACTGGCTAACGACGTCTCACTGCCTCACCTTCACATCGGCTCACTGGCTTTCAGATTGTCTGTCTTTTTTCACCGGTTAACTTTCTCACTCTCACGACAACTCACTCTCGCCACGTCAGAGCCACCGAGCCAGCGGCACTGATATCCCCGGATTGTGTTCGGGCTCCTGCCCATTCATGATTAATCGAGAATGAAGTCTGGAAGGTTTTAGTGGCCTCAGCTCAGCCACGAGTAATTGCAAACCCTAACTTGCGTAAGACACACTTTGGCGTGCCATTAATTCGACGAGTTACTCCGTGTGATTCGGCCATGGCAATGCAACCCTAATGTCTGCAACAATTTCGAACGCCAATCCTAACCTCGCGGTCACGTTTCAACAGCCACTTGCAAAACGGTGAATGGAAGTCGCGTGAAAAAAACACACATTGTTGCTGTTTTGCACGGCTGGCCACATACGGTACGAGAGAAGTTCAACATGCATGCATACGTACTCTCTCTCTCTCTCTCTCGCGTCCTCATCAGGTGCTGGACTCGACTCGGTCGTGGTGGAAGGTTGCCAGCAAGGGGGCCCAGCAGACGGGATACGTCCCCCACAATATCCTGGAGCCTCTCAACTACATCTTGTACCCCATGCCCACACCGGTACCGTAACCGGGTGAAGGACGCCGAGATGGCGAGATGTTAACGCCCTCGCCTGGTATACAGGAGGTCGTGGGTTTGATCCCGACCCTGACGAGGCCTGCTGTATATTTTGAGTTTGCGTGTTCTCCCCGTGGTTGCGTGGATTTTTCTCCGGGTCCTCGGGTTTTCCCCTTCTCATTTACAAACACGCGTTTAGAGTATGTGGCTGCCATAAATGTTCATGTGATAAGTCACTCCGTTGAGCTATCATTTGTGGCCAGGTCGCTTCTGAAAAAAGAGCTATATAGCTCAGTGGGCCTTACCTGGTAAAATACAAAATAGTTTAGTTTAGTAGCCGTTATAGTCCAGTCAGAGTTCAGTCCGAGTGTCTATCCGCACTATAGAGCAATGGTGCTCATGTCTAATGTAAACCCTGATATAATGGTGGTAATTCCATATTACCATGGCCGCAGCCAATCCATAGAATGTTTTGCTCCAACAAGCTTAACTATTGCTCCCTCAGTCGCCCAATCACTGACCAGCAGAGGTAAAACAAACGCATCGCTTTCATCGGTAACATTGATTCTTTAATTGTCGCCATTTGGAAATCCAAAACTCACGATTGGCTTCATAAGGCCACAGTTTTCTGACGAGGCTCAGAATAAAAAAAACAGTGTCTCGTTTGACATGTGGTCGCGACTGGGAACTGTTGTAACCCAGGCCCGTTTTCTTCGACCACCTTCCTGATCTTCAGCGTTTGTAGGCAAACATTTTTCCACACACGTGCAACCTCCTCTCAGCATCTTTCCATGTTTTTGTCTTTTCTCACCAGGAAATGGACCGGGGCAAGGGGGCCCCCTTGCCACCCCCCTTGTCTCCGTCGCCCATCGTGGGGAGCCCCAAGGGGGCCCCAGTGGACTACTACCCCAACACCTTGAAGCAGCAAGAGGGCAACAAACATAAGCCGCCTATACCTGCGGCGTGGAAAGGCAAGGCTTGACGTATATTACATTGTCTGTCCACTGCCTGGTGCCGGTGTGCTGTAAACATCGCCGCTGGGTTACGCAAAGGTGGCCGGGTGTGGTGCTGGCCGCCCACCTCCCTCGTGTGCCGTGGCGGCCTTCGTAGGTGCTGCTACTCGCTAACAGCGCTTGCCAGAGTCTGTTGAGGCGACAACAGCCTTTGTGTCTGTCCGTGACGCACTCAGACCGCACGGTGCAACTGGACCAGATGCAGCAGGAGTTGGCGCTGAAGCTGAAACTCAGGAAGGCGGTGAAGAAAACGGCTGGCGTGAGTCCCACCACCATCCTCCCTCCCTCCCGCTTATTGCACGGTTGGCTACGTACGGTGCGAAGAAGATGTTCAGCAATACACACATGCTACCAGTGCCGGATTAAGCTAGTGCGCGGCCTGTAGCATATGTTATAAAGGGGCCTTAAATAATAAAAAAACACATAAATAGTCAAACGCACGCATTTTTTACTTGCATAGTAAAGTTATTGTATTTTTTCATTTGCTATACAGCCAGATGATACGACAAATCGTTAACCTTAAACACCCAGTCGTTCATAAAAGTTGCAGGCAGTATAGTACCATAGTAATAGAGCAAGTGCAGAATCACTGAACCGGAATTGATAACCTGAAAGCATTTAGCGCGGGGACCTTGAAAGTGCGGGGCCCTTGAAAGTGCGGGGCCCGTAGCATTTGCAGCTACTTTTGCTACACGGATAATCCGGCACTGCTTGCTACGCCGTACGAAAAACGACATAAACTCTGTCATGGCTAGCGCACCTCGCACATTGGCATTTAGCTCCTGGCCATATGGTCATGAACAATAACAACAACCGATCATCATCAGTTTCTCCAGGTTTTCCCAATCACATCTGTAGCCGTGCGTGTCCAAAACACTTTTGTTCCCATCTATCTACACAGATGTTACAACTCTAGATATATTTTGGCAATATCTTGTAGTACACTTCCAAAGGTACGTCTTGCTTCCCACAGGGATAAGCAAAAAGTCTTCTCCAGCACCATCGTTTAAAAGCGTTGATCTCTCTCCCTTTCTGCTGCGCTGATCACCCAGGCTGCACACACGTGCATCGCGGTGGGAAGATCCCAATCGTCTTAACCGCGGCGTAGCTTTTCACGGTTTGCGCTGTGCAGCCCTCCGACGAGTTATCGAGTTGTGCCGCCCGTTGTTCTGCGCGGTGTCCGACGTTCCGACGACGTCTCGACACCGCGCTGACCAAACGCGCGGTCCAGCGTAAACGCACATCCGAGAGCCGACGCTGTTACTCGCCTGAACTGCGTGAACGCCACCAAACGATGCTTCCGTCTTTCCCAAAGGCTGTCCGTCGCAGCTCCATCTTCTCGTTCACCTCCCTCACCCCCCCGTAACCTGCCCCCCCCCCCCGTGATCGACGTGTTTGCTGCGCAGAACTCGGACGATGAGGGCGTCATCGACGGGGAGAGTGATGACCCCGGAGACCTGGAGAACTGAGCGGAAGGGAGCGCTCGAGGCGGTTTTCGAACGGCGGTGGCCGTGAGCGGCGCAGAAGGCCAACGGGGATGGGGGTGACGGATCGAGGCCGGTGGGTTGGGGCAGAGGGGGGGGGGTGCTGCCCGTGTCTCTGCCATCTCGCGCTAATGTTGGGGGTTCGATCGCCAGTGGCAAGGCTGTCACGTGGGTATTTTCGATTGCACCCTCGAATTTCCCCCATTCCCCCTCTCCCCCAATCATCGGCTGGAATCTGAACTTGACACTTGTCAATTTGTGGACCAATACGTAAATGGTGTCATCACGCACGCGGCACGTGCAAACGCAAACATGTACACTCGTAATAAAAAATATACTAATACTTTCATTTTATATAGTGTCATTCATGCTAATAGCATACCACAACGCTGCACATTAATCACATATAACGACCAAATCCCACATATACAGCCACTACCAAGCAAATGGACACCCCCTACTGCCAAGTAAAATCAGAAATGAATAAACAAATTAAGAAATGGCACCAAACAACAACAAAAATTAGTCCATTCATTGAATACAACTCAGACGTACAGCTCGCAACTACAGTATTTGATGCCACCAAGACACCAAACATGCTCGCCGCTCCTCATACATATGAAAAAAATATATATTATTCACGCTCATGCACATTTTCCCATTGATGGGAAAGCTTCCGCTGTTGAGGAACGTGCCGATAGTGATTTATAATTCGTGAACGGTTCTTAACCGATGACCAAATACCCCGTAATATGCCCGATCTCGTCAGATCTTGAAACCTAAAGCAGAGTTGAACCCGGCCAGGGATGGGATGGGTGACTGGCATGTGTGTACGTATGAGCGTCTTTCGCACCGTACGTAGCCAACCGCGCTAATCGGAGGTGCGCGGGTGGGGGGGGGGGGCGGAAAGGACAACACATTAAACACAAAAAGGAGTTCTAAAGAAAAGAGTTTTCAATCTAGATTTAAAAGTGCATAGCGCCGATGGTTTCCTCATATCGGAAGGCATGCGCAGACAGACAGGCGTTGCCATAGGGCTGCGGGACTACGTGGTGGGCAGCAGAGGGCGCACTGCAAATAATTGCATTGTTGTGTTGCACTTCTATGATCCCATGCCTGTGCCACCTTCATCAGACCTAACTGGCCGGCGTGGTGGAGCGTGGCCAGTTTCACGGCCACGACCCGCACAGTGCGTGGTGGGCTCTGTGGGGGGCCCTGTGGGGGGCCCTGTCTGACAGTGGAATCCACACGCTTCGCAAACGTTAGAAGACGTACGCTCGCACAACAACAACTGATAACGTACATTTTATTATATATATTACATAATACTCAATAGACATAATAATACTACACAATATGCACATTACTCAGTAGCATGCGGGTATGCATGATGCATATATATAATTACATCGGATACGTACAGATGCAAACTTTAACAAAACAGTAGCATTCACCACTAGGTGAATGATTGGATAAACACGGGGCCTATGGCATGCTTCGCGTACCAATCAAAGCCACATGGAGTGGTAGGAGGTTCATAGGCACTGGATGGAGATATTCTTTCGGGAGCTGAAATAATGTTGAGGTGGCTGGAAATATTTTTCGTTTCAAAATAAATAACCACATTTAAAGAGTAATTAAAATAGAAAACAATTGAGAAAATGTATCTATAAAAAAAACCAAGAGTGCAAGCAAGGTTGCCACGAGCAGAGAACGTGGGAGACCGAGGACGCATCCACAGGCACAGGTTCACCAATCAGGCCAGCCAAGAGTGAAATATTTCTCTCCTCAAGGTTCAATGAACGTGCTTCTTTAAATGCGTGGAGTCTGGCGAGCGTCACACGGAGAGGACCCGCGTTTGCCTCGTGGTGGCCTTGCGCTCTCTCGGCGAGTGCGGCTTCGAGAGGTTTCGCTGTGGGCTGGCTGTGAATAATCTGGGCCCAGTTAATAGTTATTCTTGGTTCTTTCGGTAAAGTCACGTAGAAGGGGAATAATAAAATAATAAAAATAAAACATCGTAAAATGCTCACGACGTTTCGGCCACAGCGCAAGCAGCCGTCCTCAGGTGAAGAACAGAGCTGAATTAAATCACGACGTTTCGGGCATAACACAAGCGCCCGTCATCAGGTGGGAAAGCATGGCCTACTGCTGAATGCTGATGCAGACTGTTTTAACAGTTTTAACAGTCTGCATCAGCAGTATTTTATTTGTTACCTACGTGACTTTACCGAAAAAACCAAAGAATATGAATCCCTGCAGTCACGAAAGCTTTAAATCGAAATTCAGTTAATAGTTTTTTTTTAGGCGGCTAGAAGCCCTCGTATAAGCCCAGCCAGACGAGCACCGCACTATGGGAAACAACCACTCTATGGGATGGTGAAGATGGGGACATTTAATATTATTTATTTTACCAGGTAAGGCCCACTGAGCTATGTAGCTCTCTTTCAGAAAGCGACCTGGCCACAAATGACAACTGAACCAAGTGGCTTATCACGCGGAAATGTATCGCAGCCAAATACTCTGAACGCACGTGGAGGAACTGGAGAAAATTCCACGCGACATGCAAACTCCAAATACACAGGATTTAACCCAGGGCTTCTTGTACACCAGGCGAGGTAGTTAACATCTCGCCACCATGGCATCCCCGCGACATTGTTGTGGGTGCAGAGTTTAAAGTCCTTTGACAGATCACTGAACAGAGCCATGTGGTTGGGTGGACAAATGAAAGCAGCAGATTCAAATGAAACGTGCCTCCTATCTGTGTCGTGTACAAGATGTTTCGTATCGTTATGCCCTTCCTATTTCTACACATGTGCAAATATATATATAAAGAACATCCATTTAATAGTTGTATGATTTTTTTTGTTTCGTTTACTCTGTATTTTGGTCTTAGGTCATTCCAAGAGTAAAATATGTATCTCCTTAAGGTTAAATGTGCTTCTTGAAATCCCTGGCCGTGTCACCACAACACACGGGTGCGGAGGAGTGGACCCGCGTTTTGAAAAGCCTCACGCCACGGCCAGTTAATCATCGCCACCTACCGGTCAAACTCAAGCGTCGCCCATCGGTTTAGCAAGTCGGAGGCTTTCGCGACCAATATCCATAATAAAGGGTATTGTTTTGTCTTCTTGGTTCCTTCGGTAAAGTCACGTAGAAGGGAAGTAATAAAACAATTATGTTAAATTTTTATTGTTTTATTACTTCCCTTCTACGTGACTTTACCGAAAGAATCCCTGCAGTCACGAAAGCTTTAAATCCGTATTGTTTTGGTTAGATCGCGTAAATGTGCGTCGTTAAACCCGCCACCACCCGACACAGCCAATTAGTAAGGGTTGTCACGTAAAACAAAACGTGACAAATCTTACTAATTGGCTGTGTCGGGTGGTGGCGGGTTTAACGACACACTAATATTTACACGATCTAACACCAAACAAATCCTTTGTTGTGCATCACCTGCGTAGAATTATAACCGTATACACTGAGTTATTTTCTCCCCTGTAATTTAATGCAAAGGTTGGGTGGGGTGCATCTTATAATCCAGTAGGTGTGTTAGCGCGACTTTAATTGTCATGCCTTTACGGTTTTGGGGTGCGTCTTCCTTTAGACGGCGTCTCGTGATCCGGAGAATGCTGTACGGAGAGGCGCGCGCCCGTTTCATTCATCTTAGAAAAGGCCCTTGACACCGTTGACATTAAAGCCTAAAAGTTCAAATTTTGGGCAGTGGATAGTTTTCAAACGCACATTTATTGGGGGGGGGGGGGAGGATTTTCAAGCTGTCGTGGTTTTCACGTAATAAACTAGCTGACAGGGCCGTATTATCCAAGAGGCACGGTAGGCACTGTGCCTACGAAAACAAAAAGGGCCGACGAAAAAATACATTGACCAAGATATCCTCTTGCATAAATATATTTACATAGGAAGGATAGGCGCAGCGTATATATAGAGGCAGGGTTTTCAAATTAAATCTGCTCATCGGCGGCACAAAGCGTGCTTCCGTCGAATGAGGGCACAGACAATGATGAACGTTTCAGCAGCAACGACATCTGTCCAGCGGCTGGACGAAGTACCGCGTGGAACAAGCGGAGTGACAGCGGCGGTAGTAACACGTGGCAGCGGCTGTCCCAACTGACGGGAGTTATCACTGAAGGCCCACGGAACGGAAGTGCCGAGAGCCCACAAGAACCTAAATGCGGCCCTACCAGCTGTCCTGCCAGGCAGGGCAGCAAGAGGGGTCATGAACCCGTGAATGCGACCCCTCTGAGTGACACGGATGTTTTCTCTGGTTTTCAGACATACGTTTAACAGGGTCCTTGATCGAGTTTACTATAATTAATTCTAGATTTGAAGCTTTCGTCACTGCAAGGATTCATACTCTTAGGTTTTTTCGGTAACGTCACGTAGGTAAAAAGACCTATTATTATTTCTATTATTTGTATTTATTATTATTTATTCTTACCTAAGTGACTTTACCGACAAAACCTAAGAGTATTTACTATAATTAGCATATGCAGGAACGTAGTCACGTGTGAGGTGGATCAGAGTTTGATCGGTATGTGGGTGGCGCTCAACATCAGGACATCAGGAAGCTTGTGGAAGATGTGTTATTGGTCATTCCGTAATTTTTTTTTCTTCCATAAAATATGTTTTGTTTATTCCACATCCTCCCTCACATTATACATTGCAACATCCTCACGTTCTGGACGGCGTTACCATGGACATCGACAGTATCAGGCACACCAGACTCATCAGAGCAGGCGGGGGGTAGGAAGGGATTTTGTTTGGGGAGGGAGGTCATTGCCGTTCTGGGCTCAGGTATTTAAGACTGGTCTAAGGTTTAGAAATGTATCCTATGCACGTGTGCATTCTTCTTCCTTGACTCTGAGCTTATTGCTCAGATGCTCCAGTGCTGAGTATGTGTCTAACTAATTCAGCCATCAAGTAGGGGAGAGGGGGTTCGTCATTCTTGCACGTACTCACGAGGGGTTTCCTGACCGCTATATTGAAAGTCCTTAACACAACGTTCTGTTCTCGAGTCAGCCCCATTTCTCTTAAGCTCCACAGGGTAGTTTCCACACTTATTTTTACAGATGCATTGTTAATTGTATTGAATACCCCGACTATATGTTCATAGAGCTCAGCAATTGTCGGACAAGACCAGAAAGTGTGTTTGTAAACGTGCATTACGCCCGCTCTCGTGGCTTTTCAAATCGGCTGCCAGGTTGAACCACACCCATGCATCACAGCAAATTGGCAGCACGTTTGCTTCATGGATTGGCCAAATTTATATATATATGTTTTTTCAATTGGACCCCTCACTACCTTACTTACTCTATTGTGGCCCTAAGTCTGGATCCTGCGTGCCATCGAGTCGATCAAAGCGTGCGTCTCGTGACCTCGCAAAAATGGATGTATCACCTGAATGCGTAGCCAGATTGTTGGACACGAAGCAGCAGTGGCAGATTTTTTTTACACCGTTTAATTTACCGAAATACAGTAAATAAAGTCTTTAGTTTGTATTGTTTTTAATTATTAAATTCATTTTTTTCAGTTGTATTTCTTTGCACATTACATAGTTTGCATATTTTAGTATTCTCTATCGATTTATTTTTACTGTGCTATTTTAACAGTTTTATATATTTGCACACAATTACAGTTTTCACTTGTTTACGTTCACTTTTTTTTTATACCGAAGGTCCATTGAGAAATAGACTCAACGCAGTATTTGTGTGGGTTAATGTTTAAAAAATAAAATTAGCTTATCCTCACGCGTTGAAAAAAGTAAAAAAACTGTACTTAACTTTGCAATTCTTTCGGACAACCTATTTTATTATACAAAAAAAAACTAAACACTTGCCAATAATATGTTGGTCTTAAAAGGAAAATGGAAAATAGGCAACGTTTCAGAACATGGCCCTTCAATAGCAAGTGCGATTGCTCAAGGCAATATCCGTTATATATTTTCCTTTTAAGGTCAGTGTTATTAACACACGTGTTAAGCAGTATTGTTATTTATGCTATTGCACCACTGCCAACGCAGTGCCACCAAATAATATATTTTATTATATTACATCTCAAATATTGTCTTTTAGTGGAGTCAATTTACAGTTGAGTAAGGTTTGTAATCCATTGAATGTATTTACGGTACATTCATAATAAACAATTATGGAAACCTAACTCGTGTCAAAGTGCAGCACGAACAATAATTATGAGTCGGTCACAAGCTCCTTGAGAGGGATGGCACCCTCCACGTCTTCTGCTCTTGCCTCGTGGGTGGCAGTCCCTGCAGGCAAGAGTACACACACACACTTGAAGGAGGGAATGCACAACAGACGGCCACTTGGACCACAGCAGAGAAGATAACGAAGCGTTGTACACAGATTCAACGACGGCCCGTTGATCAAAGACGCGTTAAATATGTTCATGAAATTTTATTACCAAAAATAACCGTCAATAAAGTCTTGATTTGAAGCTTTCGTGGCTGCAGGAATCCATACTCTTTGGTTCTTTCGGTAAAGTCACGTAGGTAGAAGAAAAATAATAATAGATCACGACGTTTCGATCGTCACACAAGTAACTGTCTTCACTCCCACCTGAAGACGGCTGCTTGCATTGGGGCCGAAACGTCGTGAGAATTATTTTATAATGTTTTATTGTTATTATTTTATTATTTTCCTTCTACGTGACTTTACCGAAAGAACCAAGAAGATGAATCCCTGCAGTCACGAAAGCTTTAAATCGAAACCAAGAGTCCGTCAATAAAGTGTTTGGCTTTTTGTTGTTCGTCGGTGACGACTGCGTGTGGACAAAAATCCATCGAGTGTGACGATGACTCTGACTGCCACCCGCCACAGACCAAACGCGTGACTTTGACGAGATGCATTTCACGAGTCTGAATGAACGAAGACGCGGAATTAGATGGTTTAGTCGCGTTATTAGAGGCCGCAATACACTAATGCCGCACGTGGTTATTGGCTGTTTATATATAGACATAGAATTACAGAATTCACTGGTTGGCTGACCTCATTTTTTGACTAAATGAAATCCACACACGAAGACTCAACTACAATTTCACAGGTTGTCGAATCGGCTAAAACTATAATAGCAATAAAAAAATGCTGATTAAATTACAATCGATCCAAGGCAGACAGGGCAGCAAGGTTGCATGAAAAGTAGACCAGATGGTGAGCTGTACACACGCTCAGAGAGCCCATGATTCAAACACGACAAATCAACATTCTCACGAGCGTGGTTGGCATGGGCCCTTGGGCGAGGGATGCTTGCACGACTTTTGTCACAAAGCAGACGCCTCGTCGAGGAACGGTCTTCCTGCCATCGATGGCATCATCCGCTCAAGGCGAGTCCGTCCGTTTGACCCACGTCGCAGGGATTGCGAAAGACGACGTTACCGCACTCCGTGCCCTGCTCAGTGCCGGATTATCCTCGGAGCAAAAGTAGCTACATGTGTAGTAGCTACACGTGTAGTAGCTACACGTGTAGTAGCTACTACACACGCTAAATGGTTTCAAGCTACATACGTAGTAGCTACATATGGTTAAATATTAATAGCTTTCAGCATATAAATGTGGTCCGGAAACCACGAGCAGAAAGGTGGAACGTGATTAAAAGCAAACCTGCCTCTGTATGTAGCCAAATGTAGGTTACACTAAACGAGAAACTCCCACTGCAAGGGGTGGACGTTATCACCGGCTCTCAAGAACAGCCTAAAACCAACCGCAATCCCTGGGGTTCCACCACTTCCCACATACGGTGCGAGATCAGCGGAGATTAAAAACGAAATCTCTAGGGAAATGCACAAATTCCGTAATTTTTACCGATATCGCGTAACGCCCAGAAGGTTTAACGTTTTGCAGTGATAATAATCGACGCTTAAAAAAATACACACTTTCAAAACAGGGACAAACCGCTCTTAATGATCTCGCAATGGATGCAGAGAAATCGATGACTGCGACCGTTTCCCAGCAATCCTCTGACACTGTCGCGACTCGCGAGCTCAAGCGAGCGGTCTCCACGACGAATCAATTACGGGCGAGGCCTCGTCCACCATGAACCACAATTATATTTGTTTAAATACCGGAGTCTCCACTGCACATCCGACAGGACGTCCACCGAGGAGATGACTAAAGTCAGTCTGTGTGCAGGTGCGAAGTGGTGGGGCTCGTGTCATAGGTGCTGCTCGCTAACAGCGATTGCCCCAACAGTCTGTGTCAAGGCGATACGGGGGGATCGTTGTCTTTGGTGGCGGGCGGTTTTACATCGTGGGATTGTGAAAAGTGGCATCGGCTTGGGGAGGCCGTCATCTGGCAGCGAAATGACCATGGCTGATGATGAGTCTCTCCTGCGACCCGTAAGCCAGAATATTCTTTGGGTCTTTCGGTAGAGTCACGTAGATAAGTTCAAAGAAAATAACAAAAAATAATTCCTGCAGTCACGAAAGCTTTAACTCAAGACGTAAGCCAGAAGTTCACAATGGTTAGCGTACCTGAGGCACAGATGTCGGTATCCCGTTGTTGTCGATTGAGCAGATGCTTGCAAATGTACAATATGCAACGGTGCAGGAAGACGAATTGCTCCTGGATATGAAGTGGAACGGGACGGTGGTGGGAGACAGAGATAAACATTGATTAGTTAGCACATAAGCAGAGCGACATTGTCAACAGCAAACAATTGTTCGTGTTCTTCAGCTTGGAATATATTTGTGGTTGATATTTCGCGTGTCCTCAAAATAATTTGATCACGAGATGAAATGATTGAAGGCAGTTTTCATTATTGCGCTCCTGGCGGGCACAGGGCAGTTAAACACACCCGTGTCAACACAAAGACAAAGATCCCCGTATAGCCTAAACATATTATTGGGGCAAGTGCTGTTAGCGAGCACCTATGAAGGTCAGTACGGTACACGAGGGAGTGGGTGGTCAGCACCACGCCCGACCGCCTTTGTCTCACTAGTGGCCATGTTTAGACAACGCACCAGGTACTAATATGAGGCTGAGTTGACATAGAGGAAGCCCAGGACCAGTTCAGATAATCATCACTGGTGTTGACGGTGAGCGGGCATCGAACCCGGATCGCCAGGTTGTGCTGCACTACCACAATGCACACACACATACATACACATTTGTAATATATGACTGACCGAAGCTGTACAGTGCTGCCAAAACAAACTGAATCTCTTTATACTAAACAAATGTGTCTGTTTTTTTTTATTTTACCTGGCAAGGCCAACTGAGCTATTTAGTTATTTTTCAGAAGCAACCTGCCCACGAATGACAGCTCAACAAAGTGGCTTATCACGTGGAAATGTATAGCAGCCGAATACTCTAAACTCACGTCACTCAACGTGGAGCGAGAGGAAAAACCGGCGGACCCGGAGCAAAATCCACGCGCAAACTCCAAACACCCAGCAGGCGTCAGGGTCATGATCGAACCCACGACCTCCCGTGCACCGGGCGAGATAGTCAACATTTCGCCGAGCTCGCGAGCCGCTAGGGCACCTCGGTCTGCACCATGTTGACGCGGCTCCGCCTCAGCTCGGCCACCAGCGCGAGAAGGTCGACGGCGGCTTGGGCTCGCACGGGGCCCTCGGGCGAGCACTCCTCCGGAACGGCCGCGGCACCGGGGAACGTGGTCTGCAGGCCGTGCAGGACGCGGTCCAGAGCGATGAAGGTGCCCGTGCGGCCGACCCCGGCGCTGTAAGGTCACGCGCACGGGCACGCGCGGGGCTCGCACGACGCTTTTGTCCGACGATGCAGGCGCTTGGCGCATCATTGCGAGCGACGAGTTTCACTCGGGGGCACGGGAGTCAAAGTGAAGTGCTGTTCTCAAGGAAGGACGTCTGACTCACCCTAAGCGCGAGTCGCATATCACCCACTGTCCCCGGTTGAAATTAAGCACTGGCCGTGCGGAATACTCGCTCCGAAAACCGTTCTCCACATACTGTTTTAATAACAACAACAAAAATTTAGTTGCTTGTGAGTAATCCAAGATATGTTCTCGACTTATGAACATAGTTCCTGGGGCCTGATCGTAAGTCGAACGGTTCGTAAGTGAGGGTGTCCGTAAGTCGGGTGCTTGTAAGTAGAGGACTGCCTGTATAACCCTTTATGAAACAGCACCAAACCATTTACTGCTACAACACGGGACCTTTCTTTCCAGTATGAAAGTATAAGAATAGGGTTTACACTTTCTGACAATAAAACAGGTGTTAGATGTTCGAACACAAAACCTAAATCTTTTGCAAGGTATCATGTCTGCATTAACCACACGTACTTGAGACGGGTCAATGTAAGGGCGAGGGAGGTGGGGTGAGGTGGGGAGAGGTGGGGTGATCGTGTTGGGTTGAGGGAGGTGGGGTGAGGGAGGGAGGGAGTCGGGGTGAGGGAGGGAGGGGAGGGAGGTGGAGTGTAGTGAGAGAGTTGGGGTGAGGGAGGGGAGAGAGGTGGGGTGTGGTGAGGGAGTTGTGGTGAGGGAGTTGGGGTGAGGGAGGGGTGAGTGAGGGAGGGAGGCGGGGTGAGGTAGGTGTGGTGTGGTGGTGAGAGAGTTGCGGTGAGTGAGGCAGGCTGGAGTGAGTGAGTGAGGCAGGGGCAGGCTTCCACCTGCAGTGCACGACTATCGGCGCCTTCCACGTGGCCGACTTCTTCCGCACTTCCCGGGCAAAGTCGACGAGACCGCCGGTGTGCTCCTCCAGCGGCACCCCCTTGTCTGGCCACGCCGTGAAGTGGTAGTGCCACAGCACACGAGACTCGGGCTGCTCGTTCTGTTGTTTAATTTGCCCAGACAGTGTTACCGGGGGAGGGGAGGGGAGCGTTGCACAAAGTCAGGGAGGGTTGAAAGAGAGGGGTGGGTGGGGGGTTACGGGCTAATTAAAATGTGTTTTTTTTGTCGAGTCTATACCGCCTCCTCCCTGCGTCAAAACTCAAAGTTCCATAGCCAAGAGCCACCCAACCACGATCTCCCCTCCCCCCGCCTGATCTGGCCATAGTTCCCCCCTCCCCCCGATCCGTCGCCAAACCCCCCAGCCCCACCACACGGACGCCTCTACTTACGAATGAGTTCGGTTCCAGAGGACTGTTCGTAAGTCGATTTGTTCGCAAGTCCAACTGTCACAGCTGTCAAATCATTCGGCTTATACCTCGTATTCGTGTGCAGGTCCATACGGGGTACAGCCGTTTCAATATGGGCAAAAAAATGTTGATTTAAAGCTTTCGTGACTGCAGGGATTCATATTCTTGGTTCTTTCGGTAAAGTCACTAGAAGGGATAGGAAAAAAACGCCACTATTTTCAAATTGTCTTGCTGTGGATTTCACACCTGATGGTGATTGCTTGTGTTGCAGTCGAAACGTCGTGAGAATTTTATTGTTTTATATTTTTATTATTTTATTATTTGTCTTCTACGTAACTTTACCGAAAGAACCAAGAATATTTTAAAAAATGTGTTTGTGTTTCTGCCTTGTGATGGGACTTTGTAGGATGAACGTTGAGATTTATGAGGGGCACGGGGTGATCAATAACAGTCTGTATTGGTTTGTAATAAGTAGCCACTGATAAGGGGTTGACAGGTATGAGCTTTGCTCCTGCAGATTCTAAACATGTTGTACGGCATGCACACCAAACACACAAGTTGTATAATCTCATGTAGATGTGTATGCCACTGGTTCTTCATGTTCTGAAAATGTAGATGCCACCACCACCACCATCTATAGCGCGGCAGTTGAACTTACGAACAGCCAACTGGACATACGGACAGGTTTGTTCGTATCTCTGAACGTTCGTAAGTAGAGGAGTCCCGGTAATTGTATCGGCTCCATGAACGCGTACCCATTGAACCAGGGATTCCTGAACCACAGTCCTCGCGACACACCACGCCGCCTCTTCTCGAGTTTACCAATTTTTCCTCCTCCCATTTAAATACAAATTAACTCATTCTAGATTTGAAGCTTTCGTGACTGCAAGGATTCATACTCTTTGGTCTTTTCGGTAACGTCACGTAGATAAAACAATCAATAAAATTCAATAAATGAAAACTACATTAAATCACGACGTTTCGGAGGCAACACAAGCCTCCCTCATCAGGTGTAAAAAAGGCACAGCAAAATAACTGGAGCGAGAGTTATTTTGCTGTGCCTTTTAATTAAGTTGTTTTCATTTATTATATTTTATTGATTGTTTAACCTACGTAACTTTACCGAAAAAAAAACCAAAGAGTACGAATGAACTCGTTTCACACTGCACGCGCCCGATGATTGTTAAACACATCGCACGCACCGCGCTTAGCGGTTAACGCAGTCTGCGTTAACGGAGCCGATTCAAATTATGATTGAAACATCGGTGTGCGTATTTATTTTTATTTTGTTCTCGTGGTATCTCGTTTACCTCGTTTGTTCGCTGTGCAATATTCCTTCGGGAGCCTGCACTCGTTCTCTGCTATGTCGACGAGTTTCTCTTCGGTTTTTTGTTTGCTTGCTGATGTTGCTGTGATCACCCACCACGGATCTCCCTTGTAAAACAGCCCGGAAACTGGCTAAACGGGGATCGAACATCCTTACCATCGTCCACAGAGCTAGGCCACAACCTCCGAATCCCAAATCGGCAGCTGACGGACGACTCACAAAGCGCGTTCCTTCTCCCCGCGACGTCCGCTACGCGCGTTGCGACAAGCACGCTCAACTTCTTTCGCGCCGTACGTTGCCAACCGCCGTCGATCGGAGGCGCGCGCGCGCGTGGCCGACCCGCGCGGAGCTCACCACGAGCGAGCGGAGTAGGAAGGTGCGGAGTTCCCAGCAGCCCCGCTTGGCCAGTCCCAGGGCGCGCACGCTCACGGCGCCGTGATGCTCCTCGGAGCCCAGCTTCTCCGGCCAGTACCGAGAGCACTTGGTCTGCGGTGAACGCGCTCCGAGTTACAAACCAACGGCCGCAGCGGCGGCGGCGGTATTGCCTGCACCCCCCCCCCCCTCTCCATCTCCAGGTTGAGACTGATGATCATCTGTCCATCCATGCACCGTCCAGGCGAGCGCTTGGATGGGCGACCCACGTCGCGTTGTTGTCGGCTGGCTGGGGCGGGAGCTACACGGCGCGCAGCAGACAGCACGTGCTTTGTTGTACCGCACTCTCTATGCCCTCGTGTTTAGTCCGCTCGCCCTTACGCCAACCTGCACTGACTGGCGTGGTGAAGTATGGGTGATTGCCTCTCGTGACCCATATGGCGTGGGGAGGCCCTCGAGCGCCATCATTTCTACATAAATACTCTAATAGTGACAAACATGACCGCGATTGCTTTACTTGTCATTAAGCCGAAATTATCATTATCGTTCCTCGAGAAATCGAAGATCTCGAGGGAGCTCCCAAGAACGTGGAGTGAAAATGCCACCTGCAGATACGTTTACGTGCGATCACTCTTTCCCCTTCAAACGCGTCACAGTAGGAACAAAGCGTACACGTTGAAACGACCGGCAAATGTTACAAACCGTAAGAGCAATGAACAGCCGTGCCCAAACGAGCGTGCGTGCCGAATCACACAATCCTCTAGTGTGTGTATGCGCGTGTCGAACTTCGTTCGCACCGTACGCAACCAACGGCGCTGATCGGAACGTTGCTTGGGACGGACATCAGAACTGAACGCGACAAACGCTTCTGAAAAGCAACGGGAACGTCGGCGAGTCGGACTCACGCGACCTCTCGAACACCGGCTAGAGGGAGTCGCGCCCACCTGCATGCGCTCCACGCACTGCGTGAGCATGACAACCAGACGCACGCGATGCTCCCACAGCATTCGCCAGAAGTCTCCCTGCGTCTCGGGCAGGGGGCCCTGGGTGGCGATGTAGCTTTTGGGACCGTGGACACCCTAGCGAACCCGGGGGGAGAGGGGTGGGGTGGGGGGGGAAGAAATGTCAGAAGGGATATTCTTTGGGTCTTTCGGTAAAGTCACGTAGATAGGTTCAAAGAAAATAACAAAATAACAAAAAAATACGACGTTTCGATCGCGACACAAGCGTTCCTGATGACGAACGCTTGTGTTGCGATCGAAATGTAGTTTTTTGTTATTTTTTGCTATTTCTTTTGAACCTATCTACGTGACTTTACCGAAAGACCCAGAGAATATGAATTCCTGCAGTCACGAAACCATAAAGTCAAAAGGTTAAAAAAACAGACGGGGGGGGGGGGGGGGTGCGGAAGAATCGAGAGTCGAGCGGCGTTGACGACGGCGTGAAGTCGTGACCGTCGACGCAATCATGACAACCGTCTTCACTTTCCAACTCAGGTCCTCGAAGCGCACTCGTCGAGATCATCGTCAGCCATGGTCGTTCCGCTGCTGGACCGATGCCTCTCCCCAAGCCGCCACCGCTCCTTACAATCCCGCGACGCAACAAGTAAACGAAATCACTAAACTACTTTTATTTTTACCAGGTAAGGCCCACTGAGCTATGTACAACTCTTTTTCAGAAGCGACCTGGTCACAAGTGATGGCTCAACGAAGTGGCTTACCGCGTGGACATTTACAGCAGCCAAATACTCTGACCGCATGTTTCTAAACGTGGAGGGAAAAACCGGTGGACTCGGAGAAATGAATACCGCTCGACCACGGGGAGAGAAAGAGAGAGAGAGAGACATGCAAACTCCATATATACATCAGGCATAGTCAGGTTTGGGATCGTACTAACGACCTCGTGTATACCGGGCGATGTAGTCAGCCACCCAGCACCGACTCACGAGCCGATCTCATCGCCCCAGTGCCTCGGTGGACGTCCTCTCGCAAGCGTTCCATCCCTTAGCTGCCACTCCGCAATTATTCCTCACCCCATTGATCCTCGTCCCTTCGAAGCGACGTGTCCTGCCCAAGCACCCCACGCTCCCCCCCGCCCCCCGCTTAATTGTACAAACAGTTTGAATGATCTTCTTGGTTCTTTCGGTAAAGTCACGTAGAAGGGAAGTAATAAAATAATAAAAATAAAACATAATAAAACAATTCTCACGACGTTTCGGCCACAACGCAAGCAGCCGTCCTCAGGTGAAAACCAGGTCCGTCGAGGCGACAGAGTCTGAATGAAACAGCACACGAGCTTGGAGCATATATATAAGCTGGGCGCATTGACAAAGGAATTTGCATATCAAAAGGAATTTAGCATATTTATGGGAAATGCAGGAATGTGATTAGTACTGCAGTTTGAATGATGCCGTTAACTTGGGGCTTTCTTACAGCCCTTGCCCTAACAGCCTGTTAAAGGCTCCTATACGGGGGATCTTTGTATTACGAACGTAGCAGAACAACAGCGGAGCATGAATCGCAATCATAAAGAAACGCGAGCACTGACCGGGATGAACTCCGCGTTGATGTAGTCTGACCCTGGGACTCCAGCCACGGGCTTCAGCCTCACTCGCCCATAGTTCCCTGCGTGCACACAACGGTTGCGGGCACGTTGATGAACAAGCGCCGTTGTCGAAGTTCGACGCCAAGAAGTAGCCCTGTGAGATCCACTTCTGTGGGCCGTTGTTGAACATGGGGAGGCGGTACAAGTGGCGGGGGGGGGGGGGTGCCACTGCTATCTAAGATATTTAAAGGGAACCCTCGTCTCGTAATATCACACCGAAAGCGCACTTGCAATAACATTGCAGAAAAAGACTAAAATAATCCATACAAGTTGGGGAAAAGTCATGCGTACACATGGACTGGTTGACACTTTCTAACGTGAGTTTTGTCCTCGGAAGCATTTGAATAGCAGAACGGAAACCGGGCTGGCAGCTGTCAGGGTAACAGCGCGCTGGTGTCAATACAAATAGTTCTCTTTTCTCTGGCGTCGTCCCCAAATTTTGAGCAATCCTTCGATCATGTCAGGTTTAAACAGGGTCCCCAACAGCAACACAACATTATTATTATTATATAGTATCCTTCCTATTGGAGTGCCATTACGAGCGTTATCGTAACAGACTGACGGAAGGAACGGAGTCAATGCGTAAATGCTTTCGACTCCAGTTGGGCAATTTCAAATACGGCTCTGCACCCACGCGGGAGGATGTTGTCATAGCGATTCTTGTGCTTGTTCTCTGGAAGGCATGCATCCGAGTGCAGGAAGTAGTGATCCATTGTATTCAAAACCTGCGATAGGGGGGCACATGGAAAGGAAAAACACATTAATCGATTGCTTTTTGATATTGCAGATGGAGCGGTGGCGCGTTGGTTAGGGCACTGTGCTCTGAATCCGGCAAGCCGAGTTGATTCCTGGCCTTGGCTAAGATCAGTCCGTGAGAAATATCTGAACTGGTTCGTGGCCTGCCCTCTTCTCACCAACCCGCTCTGACTCGCTGCGTGGGCGATGATCCGAGTGGCAAGCACAAGCTGGCGAGCATCTCCATCGGTTGCTCCCCTTGTGTCCCCCATAGCCAGGTGCTTGCGTAGCAGCAGTACGGACCAGAAGTGGCCCACGCTCGACTTGCCGACGTCCAACTGAACGCCGCAACACGATGGTGCATCGCTGGTGCCCTCAAGTCGACCCCAATACCCTGGTTTCCCGTGTTGTCGCTCATCGCTCCCCCATATGCATTCGCCGCAACGAAGCAACCCTCCCCAATCCACAAGGATCTCATGTAACGTGCCTCGCATTCCGCGAAGCACATGGGGTCACAAACTTAAACTGCGTTCGCATACTAACCAAGACAGATGCGGATTACCCGACGCACACGTGGGACGTTAAAAACTGTGCAGTGTGCGACTGCGGCCACCCAGAAAGAAACCATGGAGCACAAAAGCACACAATGCCCGACTCAACATCATCACAGCGATACACTTCGCTACTCTTGACGCAATTATCTGGCTCGGCCACCTCGATGTGAAATTAGATTCGTTGCTCTCTATCATCAGCTGTACGAAGAAGAAGATGCTGATGATGCTGATGATGGGGTGCGTTACCTCGAACTGAAGCGAGAAGAGATACCCGGAGTCACGGGACATTATTGTGTAGTACCTCTCAAAATCCACCAATTTCACTGGGCTGCAATCCACAAGGAGAATGGGCGCATTAAAAAAAATAAAAATTAAAGAGGGATTAATGCGGAAAACGTCATCTTTGGGAGAGAAAAAAAATGCATTCCACAACAGGGGATACGGAATCCACGTCACTGCGTCAGGGCCACCGATGAATGCGATTGTTTTGTTATTTTGAGCATCCAAAAAACACGTTTGTACGGAAAGACAGACGCAGGGAGAGACGGAGAGAGACAGTGAGAAAGACAAACGTGGAGAGACACAGACACACACACAGACAGAGCCACTGAGCCACATGTTAGCGTTACCAACAGCGCTGCTGCAAAATGCAATTAGATCTTGATTTGAAGCTTTCGTGACTGCAGGAATCCATACTCTTTGGTTCTTTCGTTAAAGTCACGTAGGTAGATAAAATAAGAATAGATCACGACGTTTCGATCGCAACACAAGCGGTCGTCCTCAGGCGGGAAAAATAATCCAGCAGTGGAACTGCTGAACCAGAGAGAGAGCTGTCGTGATCTATTAATATGTTTTCTACCTACGTGACTTTACCGAAAGAATCAAAGATAATGCAATTAGAGTTTAACTTTCTTTGAGGAGGGGGGCAGTGCCCAGGCTAAACTATTTTTAGCGGGGTCGCCCATCCAGGCTTAAGGATATTTCCCATGGCAGCTGCATATTTTAACCGTGAGATTGATTAACGCCCAAAGTGAATTTTGTCGCATAAATAATCCAATTCCCCCTCCCCCCCTCCCCAAAAACGAATCAAACACGGGATAAAACGAGCATTCAACCTCCTCAACCAAACTTCCCCACAACCCTCTCTCTTTCACCGTGCCCTTCAAAGCCTCAGATAATCTTCGCGTCTCGCATAGCTACGCGTGGCCTCATTACCACCAAAGGCGGCACCGCGTGGCCAGGGCACGAGGCCCCTCCGTCAAACCCGTTTACCGCTCGCATTCAAGCGCAGCCTCTGTGCAACGAGAAGACCTCTTGGATCCGGAACCCGGCGAGCGAGTGCGAAGGTCTCGGAGTTGATCGCTGCGATCAGCGAGCCCATCCTAGACGGTGGCGTAATCACCACGTTGTCCGCTGGCGGGGGGTTGCGGAAATCGGTCACGTGGGACGCCCAATATTTGATTTTGTCTCGCACGGTTTTACCTGGGTTATATATCGCGCCTCCTCTTGCCTCGTCACACCATTACAGAAATGTTGTTGTTCTTTGACGCTGTTGTTGAAAACATTTGTCATGGTGGTTGCCGAGGGGGGGGAGGGGGGTTCCCCAACTCGTAGCTTTGGCCACCCGAGGCGAGGTGGCCAAGGCACCCCATGTGTCCCCACGCTCATCACGCGACTGATCCTCTCCCATGCCCTCTACTCGTGGCAACCTTGTGCTCTCCTGATTTTGGACAATTCCTTTTCATGGAAACAAAAGTCACACGTATTTCAGCCCCGCCGATGTTGCCCCCGCACTTTCATGCATTCACCTGGTTATTGGATATATCTTCAGATGCACGCTCCTGTAATGACAAACAAGGCCATTTAATTTCAGGCCACAGTGGTGTGCGCCACAAGGAGGGAAAACGTGGACGCTTTTTTTTGTTTCGTTTGTTGTCCTTCCCCCCGCGCTCCTCCGAAGAGCACGGTTGGCTATGTACGGTACGAAAGAAATTCAACATACTTAGTACATTAAGAGGCGTTCGCTAACGTCTGTGCCTCCCCCCCCCTCACTGCAATCGATGAGGCTAGGGAGGGGGAATCCTTGTTTTTGTATAGGGGGGTTATGAATGGGTGTGCGAGTGACGGTGTTATTCTTTTAGAGTTGGGTGCAACATTTGGTGAGGATGAATCGCCCCGTGGCCGCAATCTCACCGCCCACGTTTGGGCATCATCCACTTGCTCCCCCTGGGGCGCACGCCGCGGTATCCCAAGTCACGGACCCTGCGGAGAACAGCGGAGATTCATGTCCATTTTCTCATCAGCCGCACACCGACTGCCCGTTCACTCGTGGGCCCGAATCACTTCGAGGTCTCCTTTAAGGGGAGGGACTGATGCCGCATGTCCATGAGCCTGCAGCACGTAAGTACGTGCTCGAGTTCGCGGATTTTCCATATTTTTCGTCAACTCGAGTTGGTCGGCATTGCGGGCGAGAGCCGGAATTCTCTGGGCCGATTTCTGCTTCCCAGGCTGGCCTGAACTCGGACTAAGGGGTGTAGAGTACAAGCGAAGAATTAAGCTACGATGTAGCAAAGATGGTAGGAATGTTGTCATTGAAAGCATCGAATAACAAAGATTCTTTCAAGCGTGTGTTTATATTCATTACATTGTGAACTTCCATTATGCACAATGTCACGTTTCTACCTAAACCTGGGGGGTCATGGCTAAGCTTCGAGCTTTGCAAACACCGAGTGCGGATGCCTGTACGTGCGCGACACCTGTAGATCCTCCGCAGCAAATACACGACTGCCGCAGCAAAAACGATGACCGCCGTCGTCAGGGCGAACAGAAGCGAGACCACGGTGTGTTCCATGTGGCGTCGTGGACCTCGGTGAAGAGAGACGGATCGAAGGAACTCGGAGCTGGAAAACAAGGTGCGCGCGGAAGGCGGACGAAAGAAAACATTAAGAGGATAAAGGCGCAGCCCGTGAAATTGCCTGCTCACGCCATCGCTGCTGGGTGAGCCTTCACGAGAGGGAGCTCGAGAGAGACCATCTAGAGCCACATTTGGCCTCCTCTTTCATATGCTGACCAGAGATGTTAGAAGAAGTGGGAATACCCACACCTTACACCACCGAAATAGGCTATTGTATACCAATACAGGACCCCCCCCCACCTCCCACTTTCCCAACAAACAAACACATTTTAACAAAAACATTGCGTCAGGGTTAGACCGGGGTCAGTGTTGAATATGTTCGAGGTGAAAAGTGACCAATTTAGATGCAGAAAGGTGTTGCGGAATGATAAAATAAAACCAATCAACACATGTATTGTATACAAAATTAACCGGATTACTTGATATTTACTGGTCGCTAAAGGAGTGATTAACGCTCTTGTCGCAGCGTTGAGTCAGCACCGCTGAGACCCCCAATGCAAGTAGTCTACCTGCCTCCAAGAATATGATACCGATGATATGATACCCTTGAGGCTTACGCAGTGAGCGGGCCAGCCCTTCTGCAACCGGGACTGTTGCAAATGTTTGGTAGCCTCTAATGTTAAGCCATCGACCAAATTTGGTGGAACAACATACACAAAAAACACACGTGACGTTGTTAATTCGTTAAAGATTACCTGGGCCTATCGATAAACCTGTACATTCAGTAATGATGGCCATGAGCATCCTCATTAACAGTAGAAGTGACGGTCATCATTCCTAAAAATATATATTTTGCACACATGAAACATTGGCCTAGTTCAGGGGTCGGCAACCTACGGCTCCGGAGCCGCATGCGGCTCTTTACGGGCTGCTTCTTGACGATATGTACGTATGTACAGTATGTACTCAGATGCATTGCGGCTCTTGAAATACTGAATTTTGTACCGAATTGAAAAGAAATGGCTCTTCTTGTTATTTTGGTTGCTGACCCCTGGCCTAGTTAAATGCGTTATACTTCAGCGTGAAGCTTCCGGCAGAATATGGAAGTTCTGCTCTGTGGTCATCCTATTTTCACTATCATCATGATTGATTTTAGTTTATTAAGCACTAAAATGTGTAGATGGTCTCTTAGTTCTGAAAAAGAAATATTTTACAGGACTGGGGAAGCAATACAGACAGTGTAAACACAATAAACTGTAGAACTATGATTAATTTGGTTTGATGTAATATATTCCATATGAATATAATCAACGTGAATGTACTTAGATAATTAATAAAGTGAGCTGAAACGAATTCAATCCAAAAATGTAATGCAGAGGTCCAGTTTATTTTACCGAGCTCTATAAAGAAGGTTCATGCACCACATTTACAATACATGAGCATTTTGCTGGCACATGGAAAAGTTAGTGTCAAACGAAACACATACATGGACAGCCCTTTTTGTCAATCCACTGCAGGATGAGGGCCTCTCCACGCCGGGTGGTTCACGGTGGTTATGTGACCACACATCGTCATGCTCGTCAGTACTGGTTGGTGAACGAGGGAAGCACAGCCTTGGATTTTACTGCTCTGCCCTCTGCTGCCCGTAACGTAAAACAGTACAGAATAGCCAACATTCTTACACCTTAAACAAATTATAATTTAATTGTTGGCAATCCTTCACATACACCCTGCCTCAAACTGCCAACTGTAGTTTAAACCCAAGCAACATCAGGATAGAATTTGACATTTATGTTCCTAAAATACATTTAAACCATTCGATGACCTATACTAAGCGACCGTTCGGCTCATGTTCCACTCGCAAATTATCATCGGAAAGTATTAGCGTTGTGCACGATCATTATAGGGGTTTTCGCTAACTTACTGCTGTGAATCGTAATTCAAAATGTCACCGAGCAGTCAGAGGCATAGATGGTGGAGATATCCCACAGTGAGGCTCAAATACATTTCTGAATACAGGCGTGCCGCGTTTTGAAGAGCGATATTTTCTACGAGAATTCGCCATCACGAGCAATTTGAATTTAGACCAATTTGTTCCCAGAACGAGCAAAATGTTCGCTTAGCTGCATCATCTGTATTGACAGATGAAGCTTCATCATCTGTATTGACAGCCGCTCCCCATCGCTCGCATTGCCGTCTGAGCTCCGCCTTCTGTCAGATCAGCGGCGGCACGAGATTGTCACAGGAGCGTGAACCCGACTGTGTCAACTGCGCACGCGAGGGGTCTCGGTTGCGCGCTCCTCATGAGAAGTCCGAATCCGACACTTATTTTAGGCCACGCGTGGCCCGCCCCCATTATTTTATTATTTACCACTTCCGTCCGCACCTCTTTCCCGCACTTGTCTTAGTCACAGTTTTGGTAAGCCCACAAGCTAAGCCCGAGCCAAAATGAGTAAAAAACAAACGTCGCTGGAGAGCTTCTTTGAAAAGGGGGAAAGACCCAATTCTGAACATCCCCCCCCCCTCTCCGGTCCGTGAAAAAATGATCTTCTACGAAACCTATCCCTGGTGCCAAAAAGTTTGGGGACCGCACTCTATGTGACAAGCGACTTCGTTGAGCTGTCGTTTGTGATGATAGCCAGGTCGCGTCTGGCAAAGTGCCACGTCGCTTAGTGGGGCTTTACCTGGTAAGGTCAAACAAGAAGAATAGCAGCAGGAGAACGGTGCCACTCTCCCACGGGCACCGCCAGTGGGGTCAACATGTCCTCTCCTGTGTGGTTGGGCGTTGGTCTAAGGGGCCGTCCATAAATGACGTCACGCGATTTTGGACGATTTTTGACCCCCACCCCCCTCGTCACACGGCGTCACAAAAAGTCAGACCCCCCCCCGCACTCAAATATGACGTCACAAAGCTCTGCCCCCCCCCAAATAAAACATGCTTCAAATCGCTTTAAAATATTGTCATTGTAGTGCGTATTTAATGTGGCGCTGCACTCTGATGTTGTAGGAGAAAACATTTATTAAAAGTCTATTTAATTCAGTAGAACGTGTTGTCTATATTGCCCATTTTGATGTGACGTCACATTTCTCAAACCCCCTCGTCACACATCGTCACAAATGTCTGACCCCCCCTCACCCCTAGGTGCGTGACGTCATTTATGGACGGTCTCTAAAAATGTAATTGCACAGATTCACCGATCGCATGAGTCGCCTGGCACGTGCTCTGCTAGTTGGTGACCTTATGCGCGCGCGTTCTCTGTCTCTCTCGGAATCGCCTCCAGTGCTGTAGCTGCTGACGGCAATAAAAGTGGTTTAAAAGTCAAAAGTCTGTCTCTCTCTCTCGAGCCGAGTCCCGGCTTCTAGAGATGTTGCTGTACCATTACGTGCGATGTTTGAACGGGCAAGCTGGTGACCATGCTGAGCTTCCAGCTACCCGCCACCGCCTATCGCAACGGGCACAACGAAACCCGCAGTGGTCCTTATGTATGTGCGCATGTATGTGCTGTATGTTCAACTTATTTCTCACCGTACGTAGCCAACCGTGCTAATCGAAGATGCGCTGACCCTGGGATTACACCAGACTATACAGAACCAAACTGTGACATTCCTCACCCGGTCGGAAAACGATATTTTATCATTTGAAGCAAATCAGAAGCTGCCTTGGTCCAAATTGCGCGATATTAAACCGATATCATTTCACGTCGAGGTGACATTATCAACTGTAACAATGCAGAGGTGCAGTCCTCTGGCCCAGTTAGACGCGAAATTCGCGGTGCCAGTACGAGAGAAGGCCGTCATGTGACCAACATTTAACCGAAGAGAGAGGAGAGACAAAGCTCCCCTCAACCATGAACGTCTTCTTGGTTATTTCGGTAAAGTCACGTAGATGGGAAATAATAAAATAATAAAAATAAAACATAATAAAATACAATTCTCACGACGTTTCGGCCACAACGCAAGCAGCCGTCCTCAGGTGAAGAACAGGGCTGTCTTTCCGAGTATTATTTTATTATTTCCCTTCTACGTGACTTTACCGAAAGAACCAAGAAGATGAATCCCTGCAGTCACGAAAGCTTTAAATCGAAATTTAACCATGAACGTCTTTGTGCAGGGCAGGCAGCATTTCCAGACTCGCGCGATTTCACTCATCGTAACCCTCGTACCACGCTGCACCGCTTCCTCAAACCGTCGCG